TATTATTAAAAATTCCTAGGGGTTAGGGTTGTGGCTCAGTGGGAGAGTGCTTATCTAGCATGTATGAGGCATTGGGTTTCTCAGCACCACATATAAACAAATAAATAAATAAAGGTCCATGAATAAGTCATAAATTTTTTTTTTTTAAAAAATCTCTAGCTGGGTGTTGTGGTGCTTGACTATAATCCCAGCAGCTTGGGAGGCAGAGGCAGGAGGATGGTGAGTTCAAAGCCAGCTTCAGCAACAGAAAGGCAATTAACAACTCAGTGAAACCTTGTCTCTAAATAAAGTACAAAATAGGGTTGGGGATGTGGCTTAGTGGTCTAGTGGCCCTGAATTCAATCCCCATTCCCTCTGCCCCCACAAAGAAATTTCTTGAAGGCAGAGTGTCTTATCTTTGTATCTGTGGCAGTTCGTTGTGAACATTAGACTTTCAATGTTCATTTAATCCATGCCGTATCAAACTGGGTTTTATGAATACTGTCTCCTAGCGGCTTGGTGAACTCTTTGAGGTTTTAAAAATGTGTTTTTTTTTTAATTTCAAGTTTGGAAAATTTGTAATCATTCTCAATGAAAACCACTTTATACCTAATACTGCTGTGATATTTTAGTGCATGTGTTTAAATTTGTGTTCTATGTGGATAATACACAGATCATCTAATAGCATAGTAATTTTTTAAAAATCTGAGTCTCCAAAGAAACCCCACCCCCCATTTTCCCCCTGCGATGCTGGGTATCAAACCAAGGGCCTCATGCATGCCAGGCAAATGTTCTGCCACTGAGCCACATCCCAGCTCCCCTCTATTATAGGAGGTTTGTATATTACCTAATTTTGAGAAACTGCTAAATGAATAAACACTACTCCGAAGTCTAACTGACCTCTCCATACTCCTTGAAGAGTTTACCTTCCATGTTTTCCTATCTCCTTGCATATGCATGGGGTATTGCCTTTCTCCATTGTTACTACAGTTTTTATAGGATTTTTTTCAATAGAACATATATCTGGTCAAAACCCTGTGTATCTTCCAGAAATGTTCTCATCTCAGTGAAACTTCATGATGTTCTTTATTCTTCTTATTGTTCAAGTAGCCTTGTTCTTCTCTTGAACTCCTTAGAGTCTATACCCTAGAAATTTGATCTTTTGCAACTCCAGTGAAGTTTTTTTAGGTTTAAACCAAACATTGAAATTTACTTGATGGATGCCTGTCTGCATGATATATTGGAGAGGAATGACAGCTTGTCAGAGTTTAGCATCAGTGTTTTTCTTCAGTGTAGAAGCATGCAGCAGTTCATGTAGGAGTATTGTCAGCCATCCAGGACCCATTTTCTTTGGTTTCTCAGGTGACAGGTCAGGTACAAGAAAGAGAAGTTCAAATCCATAACATCCTCATATTAAGTAGGAATAGTTCTTTTAGTCCAGAAACAATTTACCAATCAAATGCCTAACAGGTGTATTGTAAAATAATGAATCAGGTTTTATGGGGAACAGAAATAGAAAGTTAAATTACGATCAGAAACTCATATAGAAGAGGAAGGAGTTTTGTTAAATATTTACCCATATCTATTTTGTGGTATTTTACCCTGCTTTTGCATTGTATGATAATTTTTGTATACCTCTTTATTTTTGCTGCTCCTGATTCTACTCTCAAGGTCAGAAACTATGAGAATATGTCTTTCTTTATAATATCTGTGGTCTAACCAGGTGTGAATGGTGCATGCCTATAATTCTTGCTTACTGGGGAGGCTGATGCAGGAGGATCATGAGTTCAAAGCCAGTCTCAACAACTTAGTGAGATCCTCTCTCAAAAAATTAAAACAAAAACAAACAAAAAATGGACTGAGGATGTGGCTCAGTAAGTGCACCTAGGTTCAATTCCTGGCAAACCACTGCTCCCCCGCCCCCACCTCCACAGGTATGTATGTGTGTGTGTGACTGTGGTCTAAAAGGTTACCTTATATACATGGTGAGCATCATTGCTAAACTCCACTTATTTCTCTGTAATTTTTTTTGCTAGGAGTCGAACCAAGGACCTCCATACATTCTAGGCAAGCTCTCCATCAATGAGCTGTATCCCCAGCCCTTATTCATTCATTCATTCATTCATTCATTTATTTATGGGTCTCAAGTTGCTGAGGCTTTATTTTTTTTAATATATATATTTTTAGTTGTGGATGAGCCTTCATTTATTTATTTATTTTTATGTGGTGCTGAGAATCGAACCCAGTGTCTCACACATGCTAGGCAAGTGCTCTACCACTGAGCCACAACCCTAGCCCCCTGAGGCTGGGTTTGAACTTTTGAGCCTTCTTCTTCAGCCTCCTAAGCTGCTAGGATTACAGGTGTGCATCACGGTGCCCAACTTCCCAGCCTTTTTTATTTTATTTTGAGATAAGATCTCAATAAATTGCCAGGCTGGCTTTGAACTTGGGATCCTCTTGCCTGAACCTTCTGCATAGCTGTAGGCAAGCACCACCATGCCCAACTTCTGTATAGTTTTTAAAGGACACAGTTGAAGTAATCAAAGGCAGCTTGGCAATGTGTATCAGTTTTATGTGCATTTACCCTTTTTTGTTCAGCATTGTGCCTCCAGGGATTTATGTTGTTTAAATACTATATATGCAGAAAAGATATATGAAGGAAGTGTACAAGTGCAGTGATAGTTTTAACTGTAAGAAATGGAAATAATTTGTTAGGATAGTTGTTAAGTTGTAGTTCATTCATATCATGAAATAAGCAATTATTACCAAGAATAAGGTAGGTAGATGCATATTGTCATTTAAAGCAATTTGTTCATATAGTCCTAGTTTTCAAAAACAAAAATTACATAGGTATTTATGGATAGAAATATTTAGAGGGGGATACATGGCAGTATCAATGTGGAAATGTTTGGGAATCAGGTAGTCTTTTCTTATGTACTTCTATATTTAAATTTCATAGTAGTAATTGAGTGTAGTGTCCCATAACAGTAATCCTAGCAACTGGGGAGGCTGAGGCAGTAGGATGTCAAGTTCCAGACCAGCCTTAGCAATATGAGGCCTTAAGCCATTTAACTGAGACTCAGTCTCAAAAATTTAAAGGGCTGGGGATGTAAGTGTGCAGTAAAGCCTCCCTGGGTTCAATCCCAATACACACACACACACACACACACACACACACACACGTATATTGATTAGCAGGTATTCATTTTGAAACTAAGAGATTTAACAGTATAGATATTAGATTAGAATTAGTCTAAAAAAGTATTCAGAAAATATTGGAGACTCTTCTTTTTGTAATCTTCTGTACCATTGAATAACCTCAGTTTGTGCCTCTTTCTGGCACATTGGGTCTCACAACAGCAGCTACTTAGATCAAAATTGAAACTTTTAAAAACAGGAACAGTATATTAAACAGTCGATTATACAAATTCTTTTTTATGCTGTTGATCTTGTGACCATTAAGTTACTATAAATAGTGCAAATAGTACTGAATTCTAAGGAACAGTTGTGAATAAGTAGTAGTATAAGGATTATCATGAAAAAATCATGTCAAGTAGTAGACAAAGTATTATAAAATATGGACACAGAAACAGTTTATAGTAGATATAGTATTATAAAATATGGGCACATAAACAGTTTGTATATATGAGGAGAGATTAATTTAAGACATAGATTAACTCCCACATTCATCAGCAGAAATTAGCCAACGAAGGGCTTAGGAGATTTTGCATGAGTAATGAAGACAGGAAAGGGATGTATGTAAAATACTAAGGCCAGGGACCTTACAAGTAAACAAGGGTTGGGAGTTGTTATTCCCAGTTTTATCATTAGTTGATAAGTCACTATCACTAAACTGTTACCAGGCTAAAACTACAGATCATCTGATGCAGGCTGCTGCTCATGTTTTTTCTTCTATAAATCCGGGTTCATTGTGAGGTTTCCTAACTTCCTAATATTCCTGATGTGCTCAATTATGTCTCAGCATACTGAAAATGTACATAGTTTTTAGCATATTGAAACACTTCACACTCAGGTCAAGGTCTGTATAGATTTAATATGTGCTTAGTAACGCTTAAATTATTCCCACCACTTCTCTCCACCCATATGCTTAGTTGTTCCCACTGTCACTCTATGTGTATGTGTTTTGCTACCCAGGGTCACTTTACCACTCAGCTATATCCCCAGCCCTTTTTATTTTTTATTTTGAGACAAGTCAGTAAGTCACCCAAGCTGGCCTTGAACTTGAGATCTGTTTGCCTCAGACGCCTGAATAGCTGGGATATAGATGTGTACCATACCACTACACCTAACTGCCAGTGGATATAGTAATAATAATATTTGGTTTTTAGTAATTTTTTTGGTGGGGAGGATGCTGGGGGTTAAACTCAAGTGTGCTTACCACTGAGCCAGCCCTATGCCCACCCACCTTTATTTTTCCAATTTTTAAAAATTTATTTCTTTTTTGGTACCAGGGATGTAATGTAACTCAGGAGTGCTTTACCACTAACTCACATCCCCAGCTCTTTTTATAGAAATTCTATCTTTCTATCTTCCTTTGGCCTCATTAAGTAGCTGAGGCTGGCCTTGAACGTCAATGCTCCTGCCTCAGCTTCCTGAGTTGCTGAGATTACGGATGTGAGAAACCAGGCCTGCCTGGCCAAAATTTTGAGACAGGGTTTCGCTAAGTTGCTGAGGCTGGCTTTGAATTTGTAATCCTCCTGAGTAGCTGTGATTAGAGGCATGTGCCATTATGCCTGACTATAGTAAACTTTTTTAATGATAGGAAAAGCATATTTGAACTTGAAGTAGGAAATTTATTTTACTTAAATAAAAGTTTTGTTATGACACGGAATATACATACGATGTATCTTATCCACAAGATATCTACTTACTTTATAGACATTTTATTTGTATTGCCAATGTTTAAGTATTATTTATCATTTAAAATTAATTCAAAGAAGGGGGAAAAAAAAGAAAAAGAATGGGATTCTCATTAATGAAACTTTTTTTTTTTTCCCCAGACCAGAATCCGTAGAAGCTAGCCCTGTGGTAGTTGAGAAATCCAACAGTTATCCCCACCAGTTATATACCAGCAGCTCACATCATTCACACAGTTACATTGGTTTGCCCTATGCGGTAAGTGTCAAACATTTCTCTGGAAGAAAATTTCTAAAATTTAGAGGTTGAAAGAAAATGGTGTGGTCTTATGCTTAAAATGGAATATTTTATTTTATTTGTTTTTTTTAATATATTTTTTTTTAGTTTTAGGTGGACACAGTGTCTTTATTTTTTATTTTTATGTGATGTTGAGGATTGAACCCAGCGCCCTGCGCATACCAGGCAAGCTCGCTACTGCTTGAGCCACATCCTCAGCCCCTTAAAATGGAATATTTTAAATGCACATTTGTTTCATATCATCTAAAGAATATAGATATATACTATGTAGTTTTATAAGAGTAATCTTCCTAAAGATTTTAATATTATTATTTTGCAATTATGCTATTAGTACTTTAGGTTACATTTCTTTCCCATGAGTAAGGTTATATTGTGTTATTTGCTGTTAATTCTAAATTATATAGTAATTTACATGTTAATATATGTAGTTTTCATTTGTTGAGCACTTGTTATGTGCCAGGCTTTATGCTAAGCATTTGTACATACAGTGTCTCATTTAATCCTCAAAAAGAACCTCTTGATATCTGGTTTGCATCCCTATTTTTTATCTGAGAAAGTGAAACCTTCTCTAAGTTAATTTATTCAGTAATGCATACCTAATAAGAGCCAGAGATTAGATCCAGTTTCAGAACTGGATGCATTTGTGGTATTATGAAGGTACAATTGTGAGAAATTTTATTACTTGGACCAAAGTAAAGATTACCAAATTTTTAAAAACCCTATGTTATATAATTAGAGTTAGTGTATCTTCTGTTGTTGTTTCTATTATTCTTAGTTTCTGTATTCTTGGAAATTTTTTTGACCTTTATTCTCATGTCCTGCACCTGCTTTCATCTTGAAGGTAAAGCTGTGTGACCAGAGGACTATTATGATGTCTTTTGATTTGGGGGTCAGGGTGACATTGATGTGAAGATGATCTCCCCAACCTTGTAGATAGCTATATTCACTTACCACTGTTTTAATATATTGCTTAATCAAGTTATTTTTTTTTAATGGTATTCAGGAAGAGTTGAGCCAGTTTCACATCTCTTTTGAGTTATAAAATTAAGGGTTAAATTTTGTTTAAATTTCTTAGGGCATATTGTTGAAATGAAATAATATCATTTTATTTTTGTGTTCCATTATCCAGGACCATAATTATGGTGCTCGTCCTCCTCCAACACCTCCAGCTTCCCCTCCTCCATCAGTTCTTATTAGCAAAAATGAAGTAGGCATATTTACCACTCCTAATTTTGATGAAACTTCCAGTGCTACTACCATCAGCACATCTGAGGATGGAAGTTATGGTACTGATGTAACCAGGTGCATATGTGGTTTTACACATGATGATGGATACATGATCTGTTGTGACAAATGCAGGTAAAATATTTCACAACATTATTATTTTTTGAATGCTCCTAACCTTTGTCAATTTGGAAGAGATGACTAGAACCACTTTTGAAGGAATTTATGATTACATTTTTTAAAGTTGGACTTCTGCTATTATTGATGCGGTTCATTTTGTTCTTCGAAAAAGCTCATGTCAACAAAAGCTGTCTCCCAATCTATGAGAAATCCCTATTGTAAATTGAGTAATAGATAATCAGTTCTGAATTATATTTATATAGGATCATCTCTTTTCCCTTAGTTCAGTAGCAATACAAGTACTTAGAGGAGTAGATAAGACAAAGAGAGAAATTATGTCCTTTGAGTTTCCTTTGCAATTATTTGTGCTGTGTAGTCAACTGTGATTTTCCATTTTGGGGGAATTAAACATTTTGATTGATGTTTATTTGACCTGACTCTCTCACCTCCTTTTGACTTGAACCTTGCAGCACTCTGGAGTCTTCTTGTACCAGAACCACAGTCTCCCCTCCCCCAACCCTGATTCAACCACCAAGAAAGGCCTCCTCCCCTAGAGAAGGTGTGATTGGGACAGAAAGTGGGGTTTTGTTTCACTTGGGTTATTTATTTATTTATTTATTTTTTGTGGGAGGGACTTTGGGAGGATGGAGAGGGAACAGTAGGATTTCAGCCTTAAAAGTTATTGAGTCCATCCCCTACATAGGGTAGGGAGTAGAGAGAATTTAGGCAAGAGAAGGCAAGAAAGTTTGGTAGCTTTATAGGATTTCCTGAGTTTGCTCCTTATGGCTTACTTGATTTGAAGTAGCATGGCTTATATCCATATTTGAATGTAATAACCATATAAAGATGCATCCTAGACCCTAATACAAATTAGTTTGCATTATTTATAAAATGTTCCCACCCAGTAAGTTAAGTGATTTGGAGTTGCATATTATTAATATAAACTTGCAGTTAAAGGTAATATTTTAAAAAGCTCAATTTATTTTTGCCCCCAAATGGTAAATTAATATGTAGAATGTGAAATTGGTATTGTATTTCTGAAAGGTTGTAATATGAATACTTTTTAGTAATAAAAATGTGGTACCTATTCAGATTTAAAAATAAATTCCCATTGTATGTTGTACACATCATTACCATGAGCACTGACATCAGTAAATTTATTCAGGAGGTAAATTGAAAATATAAAAAGTGACATATTGTTTTTCTTATATTATTGTCAATTCTTATTGTAACCAGTCATTTTCTCTTTAACTGACCCACTGTGATAAATTACGAACCACCATGTGGCATTGTTTTTATATTAATGTATACTCAGCAGTGTTTTTCTTTTGATCCAGTTACAGTGATCTATGTATGATACGCAGTTATGTCTATTAGAGAGTGGTGAAATTGTTCTTAGAATTTTTTTTTATATCCATCTACACATTCTTTTCTTAAAATATTTTTAGTTGTAGATGGACACAATACCTTTAGCTTTTTATGTGGTGCTGGGGATTGAACTCAATGCCTCACATGTGCTAGGCAAGTGCTCTACCATTGAGCCACAACCCCAGCCTCATCTACACGTTCTTGAAGGACCACTTTACAGTGTTTGGATTATTCAAGGTATTTGCTTCTCAGTGACAGCTCTCTATTTTTCTTCTCTCTCTTTGCTCTTTATTGCTCAATCTGTAATGTACCATACAGCTTAATATCTCTCTCTCACTTTTTTTTTCTTTTTTGATGTCCTACAGATTATACCCCAAATCTTTTTTATTTAATTTTTTTTTTTTTAGTTGTAGATAGACACAATATCTTTATTTTGTTTTATTTTCATATGGTGCTAAGGATCAAACACAGTGCCTCACACATGCTGGGCAAGAGCTCTCTACCACTGAGCAACAACCCCATCCCAAGGCTTAATCTTTTTAAATCTTTTCCCTTTATTCTTTTTTTTATGTTGCCTCTTTATGTTTTTTCAATATTCCTGCACCCATTATCATTGCTTTCAACCCTGACATCTAGAACTCTGTTCATTTATTCATTTTCTATCTTTGTTTCTTCTGGATAGCATCATTATTTAGCCCTCAAATTTAATGTCATCTGTTTTTCTAACCTTCATTATCATTTGACTGCTTATTTTTCTTTTTTCTTTCTTTGCGTACAGGGGATTGAACCCAGTGGTGCTTTGCTATGAAGCTACATTCCCAGCCCTTTTTATTTTTTGAGACAGGGTCTCATTAAGTTGCTGAAGTTTTTGCTAAAGTGCTGAGGCTAGCCTGGAATTTGTAATCTTCCTGCCTTAGCCTCCTGGTTGCTGGGATTATAGGTGTACAGCACTATACCTGTCTTGCCCTGCATTTCTTTTTCACTTCTTTTATAAACATATATTCTATTACATACCTCCAAAATCTACTAGTTCTTGTCTTAACATTCTTAGTTAAGAACAACAAAATAAGCAGTTAGTTTATTACTTTTATATTAGAAGTGGCTAATTATTATGTAAAGAATAGCTAAGACTATTTTTGCAAACAAACATATACATTATTTCAGATAATTTGGCAATAAAATAATAATAACAAATTGAGAAGTTTGCTGAAGGCTGGTCCATACATTTCATTGAAAATAATTAGGTTTAATTTCTCTCCCCCAGTGAATGCCTCTTGGGTTCTTTGATTTCTTTTTCTTTGCCATTATTCTAATTCTGTCCTTTTAAAGCTTAAATCTTGAATGTTGGGAAAGCCTCTAGTTTGTCTTTTTACTTCCATTTTCTTAGCTACTTTGTACTAATACTATATGCCACTGAAATTGTTAAATGTTGACAGAAGAAATTTGCATACATCCCAGTATTCCAAGTCCTATATAATCTGACTGTACTTCATTAATTCACTTTTAACCCCTCCTCTGATTTCACAAAATGAATAATTCTCTTCATTTATATTGGCTACCATCTAGCCACCTTCTCCTTGTATCTGTTTATTGATAAATACAACAATGACACCTTTTCTTCCTATTTGCCAAAATGAGATTATTTTCACACCCATTATCCTCTATAGTGCTTTCCCCATGAACTTCAATTAGTGTGGACATCTCCACATTGTAATTTCTAATAACATACATAATCTTTACCTTTAGCATTTTAAAATTGTATTTGCTTTAGAAATTTATTTTTTATATCCTATTTTGCCCTCTTGTTTTTGCATCTCAAAATTTTCTGTGAGGATACACTTCTGTGAATTCCTCCTAGCACCTTTTAGAATGCTAAACTCAAAGTAGGCACTGCTTAAGTGGTGGTTTAAATAGAATATAAAATCTTAATTTAAGGATGGTTTTAACATTTTATATGTTTTCCTTTTTTTAAGTGTTTGGCAACATATTGATTGCATGGGGATTGATAGACAGCATATTCCTGATACCTATCTATGTGAACGTTGTCAGCCTAGGTAAGTTGCACATACATGGTAAGATTACCAGTAATTTCACTGAGCAAAATAACAGAAATTTATTTATGAATTCTACATTAAAGAATTAATAATTGTATTTTACTGATTTTTGAGAACATTTTCATTTCTTCTGTTTATTATTATTTTTATATCCCCACATCTCTAAAATGAGGAAGAATCTTGTCATTTACCATATGATGTATAGTTTACTTTATAGGGATTTTACTTTATCGTGTTGGTTTCTTTTTTCACTGAAATACCACTTCTTTGATTACATACAGAATTTAATAGGTCTGTTATGACTCCTGTTTGTAATATATGGTTTTCTTCTTAACCCCATTTCTTTCTTTCTTTATGGATATTTAGACCTATATAAAACTTAAGTAGTATAATGAGCTCATTTCCCCCACCTTGCTTCAGTAATTATCAACAATTATGTTTTGCCTGTTACTTTTACTTTAAAGATAAAATACAAGAGTTTATAGTTAAAATTACAGTTTAAATTTAGGAATACAATTTTTTATTTAATGTTTTATATTGTTTATACATATGTCCTTTTATCAGTTTTCAACAACACAGGAATAATATAATTAGAATATCACATGATTACTTAATTGTTTAATGTCCTACAAAAGAATACAAGAATCTCAAAAGTATTACCAACACTAGCACCATTAGTGAGATTACATAAAACTCTTTTCCTCATAGGGCATAGTTCTTAAAGAGGGTAGGGTCCATTTATTGTATTTAAAATCCTTTGAAAGAATTTCAGTGTGTCATTACAACCCAATTTATGCATACTTAAGTTTAGATTATTAGTTCTATTTTTCTGTTTAGTTTTCAGTTATTGGTGATATCACATATAGTTGGAAAATAATGCAGAAATCTTGTGTATACTTACATAGTTTCCCTATTGGTAATATCTTGTGAAACTGTTAATTGAAAATTATAATTAGTATTTTGACATTGATGCAGTCATGGAGTCAAGTTCAGAGCATTTCCATTACTGCAAGGTTCCCTTATGCTGCTTTATAATCATTTCTACTCCACCCCTCCCAACTCTGACCTTTGGCACCCACTAATCTGTAATAATATATAATCTCCATTTCTATCATTTTTGTCATTTTAAGAATGTTCCAAAAATGAAATAACATAGTTTGTGACCTTTTAGAATTGGCTTTTTCATTCAGCTGAATTCCCTGAAGAGATATCCAATTTGTTACATGTGTTACTGTTTCATTCCTTTTTTGTGTGTGGGATGTATGTGGGTGTGTGTGTATGTGTGTACACAGTTGTTTGTTTACACATACATAATAGTTTACATGTTTAGTTTTATAAGAACTTTTCACACTGTTTTTCATAATGGCTATCTAATTTTACGTTCTTACCAGAAATGTATGAGTAATCCAGTTATTTTTTTTAAACTTGTTTTAAAATTTTTATTTACTCTTATAATTATATACTTTATAATTATGTAAGATGTGCTTCTATCATTCTAAATTCAAATATATAAAACAAGATATATTCCAGTAAGTCTAACTTCTATCCTTGCTCCTTCTACACCAGAAGTAACTATTTTTAAAAATTGATTTTTTCCTCCATTACTTGTTTTCTTACATGTAGATATGTACCTATATATTTGCATTTTTCCCCCTTACATAAACAGAAGCATATTACACAAAGTCCTTACATTTCTTTTTTTTTTTTTTCCTCTTAAAAAAAATAATATGCTGAAGGGCTGGGGATGTTGCTCAGTGGTTAAGCACCTCTGGGTTCAATCCCCAGTACCAAAAAAATGTGCTAAAAGATCACTTCATATAGTGTATTTTTCTATACTACTATCTAGCTTCTGGACAGACTTAAGTACTATGATTTATTCAACCAGCTCCTTCTGGGAAGACATTTATTTTCAGGCTTTTGTTATTGCAAATCAAAGTGGGATTGTACTTTTAAAAGAGTAAATGTATATAAAATTTTGCCAGCTGTTGCCAAATTCCCCTCTGGTGAGAGCTATGCAGTTTTGAATTCCCTCAGTAATGCCTGTTTTCTCAAGTCTACAATAGAGTATTTGACAGACTTGGATTTTTTCACAGTTGAGAAATTGTAATCTCAGTATAGCTGTATTTTTCTCATTGTGAGTGAGACTTTTCTATGTTTTTGTTTTATTTTATGATAGTTACTAGCTTTTGATGGAATAAGTGTCTGTTGATGAATTCAGTAAGAGTAGGTTAAAAACTGACCAATAAGAGGGCAACTGATAAGCAGTTGAAAGAGATCTGCTTATCATTCTATGATAAGTAGAATTGTTATGTATAATGCTAAGATAATAATTATGTGTCCTGGTAGACATTAAGGCAAGTCTGTTACTGAGTTATAGACATTTCAGTCCACAGCCCTTATTCTTTCATTTAAAATAATCTTATTATTTGGTCTCTACACTAATAAGTATATACAATGAAAAAGTTGGGGGAAAAATACTAATTCCCATGGATGATATAGGTCAAGGACAGAAGCTGTTGAAAGTTTATGACATGTTTTGTAAAACGTTTAGTGTTATTTCAAGAGTGCAGATAATTTAAGGCATATGGTAATGTGCAGTAGATAACTAATTCAGTATCATAAACTTAAGTTTAATTTGTGATTTTAATTACATTGTTAACATTATGGGTGTTTTTTCAGTTTTTTTTTTTATTGCACTGAATATTGAATTTGAAATAAATTGTGCTCCTTTCCTAGGTAAAATAGTATTTTTTAAATAGAATGAAATCGTCAGTTAATTGGCCTTTACTGCTTTAATATTAGATCATATCTAAACTGAAAGGCAAGAGAAGTTGCGTGTATTTTGTATTGTTGATCTTTTACTAAAAACATTAAAAAAATTCTGCTTCATATGTAGGTTTATGAAAATCTGATCAATAATTATGTTAAAATTTTAATGTAGGAATTTGGATAAAGAGAGGGCGGTGCTACTACAACGCCGGAAAAGGGAAAATATGTCAGGTGCGTAAAAAATTTAAGTTTAGTGTGATAGAGAAAATAAATGACTTGTATGGTTTTAGTTAGATATAAATACCCTATTGATGAATTTTTGTTGTATATATTATTTACAACCTCAGGTATAGATTTTAAATATTCTTTTTTATGGCTTATAGATTTTGTATATTGATTTAAGGAAACATATTTGTTCTTCAGAGAGATGGCGATCCATTAGTTTATCATGTGAACTAGAATCTCTTTGCGCACGTGCGTGTCTGTGTGTGTGTGTGTGTGTATGTGTGTTGTGGGGAATTGAACCCAGGGCTTTGTGCATGCGAGACAAGCATTCTACCAACTAAGCTATATCCCCAGCCCCTCCTTCATTTTTAAAGACAATTTCCTAAATTCTATATAAGATTTGCCATGCTTTCATTTTGGTTTAAAATATTTTTGGGTTAAAACCAGTACAACTGCTTTTGAATAATCACAGTTTATTTAGCAGTTCCTCCTTGATGGACATTTTGGTTCTTTTTCATTATTTTTGTTTTTAAACCCCCCTTTTTTTTGGCTAGATCCCTAGAAATAGAAGTCCCAGTGTATTTAGTGTATTTAGTTTTTCAAGGTGTGGCTAAATTCCTCTCCATAGGGAATTTTTGAATTGCCACTGCTAATGTATGGTAATGCCTGTTTCTTTCCTCATTCACACAACCAGAGTTTTGTTGTCAGACTTTTGGATCCTTTGTAGTTTAATGTGTAAGAAATGACATTTGTAGTTTGTATTTAAATGTACCATCTTCTTATGAGTGAGATGAATAAAGAAATTAAAAAATGTTTATTCTTTAGAAAAACAGAGATTATACTGTGTCATGTGGAATGCTCTTTTACTCTTTGAAATAGAAGTATTAAATGTCCAATAATTTCATTTTGCATTTGAAGATGGTGATACCAGTGCAACTGAGAGTGGTGATGAAGTTCCTGTGGAATTATACACTGCATTTCAACATACTCCAACTTCAATTACTTTAACTGCTTCAAGAGTTTCCAAGGTCAATGATAAAAGAAGGAAAAAAAGTGGGGAGAAAGAACAAAACATTTCAAAATGTAAAAAAGTACGTTTGCTTCTTTTTAAAATGAGTAGATAAAATAGTATATAGGGGAATGAGTTTTATAGTAAAGGGAGAGTAATGAATTATAGCTAAACAGATATAGCAAAATCTAAACAAACATTTAATATATTTAGTGTGTTTTGAAGATTGAAGTGGAATAGAAATTTTGCAAACTGCTTGAAATTGTCACTCTGATAAAGTCTGAGTGTAAAATACAAAAGATTGCTATTTTAGAAAACAAATGACAGTCTTAAATTTGTAATAACTTGTAACTGGTAAGGAAGCATGTGATAGTTGTTTATACCTACTCTTCTCTATTTGAATACTATCTGATTATTTTAATAAGGCTTCCTGTTTGAATTTCTTACCACTTAGGTTTTTTTCCACTTACTCTTTTGCCTTCAGATCTTAGAATATTATCTATTAGCTAAGTTTTCGTTAAATTTGTTAATGAAATTTTGTTAGTGACAGATCACATATATGATTATGATCCCAAAAGATTATAAAGGGAAAACTTCTATCATCTAGTATTTTCATTGTATGTTTTCTATGTTTAAATACAAAAATACTTCATTATATTGCAGTTGCCTACAGTAACATGCTGTACACATTGCGGTCTATGATCAATAAGTAGGCTCTGCTCTGCTCTGCCTTGTAGATTTGTGCAAGTATACTATGTGGTGTTTGCAATAAGGACAAAATAGCTCAGTGATGCGTTTCTCAGAATGTATCCCTGTCATTAAGCAATATGTGACTGTAATTGCTAGTAAAGGTTTTTGTCATACACAGTAAAAAATATTTTTCCTAATGACTATCTTGTTACAGAGTGAAATTTTATGAAATCAGGACTTCAAAATAAAGGTTTTTCTTTCCTTAAGTAATATTTTATGATACACTTATTTAATAGGCAGCATGTACTTTTAAATACATTTTTCATTTTCAAATTTCCTCTCCCTGTTTAAAATCAGCTTGATTATCTTAGCAGTTTTCATGTACATATCTCCTTCATTTTCTGTTATTCTTTTACTTATATTTTATCCAGTCTGGACAATTCATTGTTGCCACATTCTACCCACTCTTGCTGAACATGTTTCACCATTTGGAATATTCTTCTCTCCATCTTGATCTTTTAAACTTCTACTATATATAGTAAGGCCCATCTCAAGTACTATTATTTCCATGAAATTTGCTCTTCTACTATCAAATATAATCTTTCTTTGCATTCTGTCATGGCACTTGGACCTTTTATTCTTGAACTTAACCACATTTTCCCTTATTTCATTATGATGTTCCTCATCTCTTAGATTGTAATTTATACAAAGAGAGATTGTTAGGTGTTTTTGTAGTTTAGAGTCCTATTAGCAATTAGTATTTTAGGGTCAGTACTTTATCACTACTCATTAGAGTGACAATTTCAAACACTTTGCAAAATTTCTATTCCACTTCAATCTTTAAACATTCAGCAATTCACTAGACGTTTAGATGTTAACACACCTTTTTGTCTACTCCTTTCAAATCTTACATGATTTCTTTGTTTATTTTATAAAAGTTAACTTGGAAATTTCTTATGTTTCTGTTCTACATCTTTGGTTTAATACAGCATAGATTCTGTATTTTCTCTGGCTGGAATGCCTTGGGTATTTGAAATAACTAAACTCTGAGTCTTAATTATGTCTCATTTACTTTTAAAACATTGTGGTATATTTAAAAGGGAAGAGATTTTTCTCTGGCATTTAAGTTAGTAACACCAGGAATCAGAGTGTTAAAAAAAAAAAAAAAAAGAATCCAGGAACTGGCCACTAAAGATAACTAGTTTATTATTCTGCTAAGATTTAATTATAGTTTGGGGGCAGTATGTAATATAAAGTATATAGCAAAGGATATAATTTTGCTTTTCATTCAGCATACTCTGAAGGCAAATTGTTCAAAGTAAGAATAGATTTAGCAAAAAATATTCTGGACAGATTTATTTTATATTCACAAAATCCTAGTAAGATATTTTTGGTATTTTAGCAATTCACTGCTTTTACTTCTCTTACAGATTGAGCATCCCAAATCTAGAAATTTGAAATGCTACATTTCAGGTTTTAGATTTTCAGGTTAGGGATGCCTAACTTTCAGATTACATAAATGCAAATGTTGTTCAAAATTCCAGTCTGAAAATCTTCCGGTCTTAAGTACTTTGAGTAAGGGATACTCAACCTATACCGTTTTCTTTCACTGTTTCCTCTGTACACCAAATTTGACTCTTCCTTACTCCTTGTTTACATTTTTTTTTTTTGGTATCAGCACAGCGAATACACAAGCTCTAAAATCTTTTAAGTCACGTTTAGTCTTGATATACAGATTTATCTTCAAAAGCTGTATTTATTTTTCCTTTAAAATGTCTCTTTGGTGTATTTTTTCCTCTTTTCACTTCTGCAAACCCAGTCTAAGCCTCCATTATCTCATAGTAGTACAATAATTATCTTTTTTTTATTTTTTATCTTTTTATTTTTAAAAAAATTTTATCTTTACCCCTTCAATCCATTATGCACTTGGATATCAGCTTCCCTATAAATATCACTTTTGTATCCTTTCTATGCTCAGAAATAAGGATTTTCATTAATAGTAAAGAGCAAATATAGTATTTAAGTCAGAATCATAAAGTCTGACTTTTTCAATAAGCCTTCCATGACCTGCTTTGATATTATTTTAGCCAATCCTTTATCACACTACTTTTCAATAGGTAAGAGTGATAGTATATTAATTTTTCCTTGAATTTGGCAATTTCTTCCCATTTCATGCATTCTTAGTTTTTTTGTACTCCCAGGATTGTATTTCTTTCATTTGTTCATCTGTCTGGATATATGCATTCTCAAAGTCCACCTAACTTTTTCAAGGTTGCTCTTTTCTAATATATTGCCTACATATTTAACACTTAAATTTATGTTTAGATCTATCTAGCTATCTCTAGGTTTATTTTTGTTAGTCTCTCTAGATAGACTTTACACTTTGGGATGAAGAATTAGCAAGACAGTAATTAAGTCTTAAGTAACTCAAGATCTTGCAATTTGTGTGGCCTCAGTAAATATTTATTGAATAAATGCACTTCTGTTTACCACAGAGCTTATTATTTATGCCGCATTAAGGGTTCAAATATTTCTTGCTAGCTAGTTGCCTTAGAGAATTAAAATTATAACATTTCCCTCCCAAACATCTCATCATTTTAACCAAATTATTACAGCATTTCTAATATCTTACCAATTTTTTCACAAAAATTTCTTTACAGTTGTAATATTTATTTATTTATAGTTGCCATTGGACCTTTATTTTATTTATTGATACGCGGTGCTGAGAATCAAACCAAGTGCCTCACACATGCTAGGAAAGCACTCTGCCACTGAGCCACAACCCCAGCCCTGTAATATTTATTTATTTAAAAAAATTTTTTTTAGTTATACATGGGCACAATATCTTTGTTTATTTATTTTTATGTGGTGCTGAGGATCGAACCCAGGGTCCCACATGTAAGAGGCGTGTGCTCTACCGTTGAGCCACAACCCCAACCCCTGTAATATTTATTTTTAATTAGAAATTACAAGTATGTGCTACTGCACCCAGCATATTTTTTTTTTTGAGTTTTTAGTTTCCACACAAAAACATAAAAGTTGTACATATTCATGGTATACCATGTAATGTTTGATGTAAGTATACGTGTGTAAAGTTTAAATCAACATTTGTCATTTCTTTGTGGTGAAAACTTTCAAAACCTCTTCTTCAAGCTTTTTGAAATGTACATTAAATAATTGAGTCTGTGGTTACCATACTATGCAAGAGTTATGGTTATAATATTGAGAACATAGAATATTTGGAAAGTTTTATCTGATCATCATATATACATACTTTTATATTCTAAATACTCTGCATTATATTTTGTGATAGAATAACATTCTAGTACATTTATTTACTTCAAATTCTCCAAGTTTTACTGGTTATCAATTTTTTTCCCTTAACTATAATACTTCAGTGAACCAGTTGATTCTTAATTATATCCAGCTTTTAAAACAACTAACCCAGAATTCCATGCTTATTTTAGGCCTTTCGTGAAGGATCTAGAAAGTCATCAAGAGTTAAGGTAAATACATTACATTTAAGGAGTTTATTTAAGTGGCTGCTTGTCTTTTTGCTCTCTTCATTGTGCACCATTTCATCACTTATCTTACAAGAAGTGGGACCTTAGAATTCTAATTGAATTAATAAATCACTGTTGTTGTTTATTAATACTATTGAAACATTAATCAAAGGGGGTGGTGGCAGGGTAGGGTGGTACAAGCCTATAATTTCAGCAACTCTGGAAGTTGAGGCAGGAGAATTGCAAATTGGAGGCCAACTGTGGTAGCTTAGTAAGACCCTGTTTCAAAATAAGAAGAAGAAAGACTGGGGATGCAGCTTAGTGGTTTTGATCCTCAGTACCCCCTCCAAGTGTATATTCATAATTTCTAATAGTAAAATTGGAGTAATTAGAATTTATTTATCACTGCATTTTATGTCTCCCATAGTACTTTATATTCGTTTTCTATACACATGAATACAGAATCACATTTGGGAAATTGAGATTTTACTTTTGCATAGTTTGATTCTTAAGGTAGTCAAGTCAGCTGTACCATAAAAACGTGAGTCTCACTATGTAAATACAAACTAGTCACATGTACCTTAAATTAATTAGAACACAGTCCCCTTGCTGAGAGCAAAACTCTTCTTTTGGCTTCTAAAATCTAGATTTTTGTTGGGTCACAGAGGTAGCTATATAGTGTTATTAAAGCTTTCTGGGTTAGGTAGTAAAGGATAACAAGTTTTTTTTTTTTTTTAAATATTCATTTTTTAGTTGTAGTTGGTCACAATACCTTTATTTCACTTATTTATTTTTATGTGGTGCTGAGGATTGAACACAGGGTCCCATGCATGCGGGGCGAGTGCTCTACCTCTGAGCCACAACCCCAGCCCCAGGATAACAAGTTTCTTAAGTAGTTGAACATTAAATAGGATGTGGGGAGTGTGTTATAGTATATTTTTTGTCCCATGGTATAAAGCATAATAATTATTCGTTATGGTCACGTTTCTAGAAAACACATCATGAAACTATCATTTTTATCTCAAGAATATTACAACATGGTGTCATTTAGCATATGCAAGTCCCACATTTCATAAAATATTCTTTATATGATAAAGTTGAAGATTTATGTTTTATTCTATTAACTTGAACTTTAGGAATTTTCTCTGACAGAATAAAGAGATCTGAAAAGTTTTTTTGATTAGTTACTGGCAAATCTTATTACCTCAGTACTAGGCTTCATGAGGAAGGAACATTTTTTATTTTACTGAAATACTTTCCTTTAGTACATAAAGAGGTGAGTTAGGAATGCAAAAATTTTTCAAATTCTTTGTGAATATTAGAAAATATATTTTAACTTGAAGATCGTGTTTGAAAGTCATTACAATTCAAATAAATAATTCTGTAGTAAACTTTATAAAGTTCAAGATATATAAAGTTCAAATGTGGTAGGGTAATTTCTGGTCTTTTTTGCTTGGATCAACTTAGAAAGCTAAACATTTTCCAGTCCAGTTTATATTAATTTTTAATGTATATTGCCATTAATTCTGTGTATGTTTGTGTATGTAACTACTTAAGTTCAAACAGTAATACTTACTTTGCTGTGATTTTAGGGTTCAGCTCCAGAAATTGATCCTTCATCTGATGGTTCAAATTTTGGATGGGAGACAAAAATCAAAGCATGGATGGATCGATATGAAGAGGCAAACAATAACCAATATAGTGAGGGTGTCCAGAGGGAGGCACAAAGAATAGCTCTTAGATTAGGCAGTGGAAATGACAAAAAAGACATGAATAAATCAGAATTGAACACCAACAATTTACTCTTCAAACCTCCTGTAGAGGTAAATATATTGTCAAAAAAATTATAAAAAACCCTTTTTATGCTATATATCTTCAGTTAGACTGAAAGTAACCAAGTGTAATTCATGTCAACATATACTCTGATTTTAGAGCCATATACAAAAGAATAAAAAAATTCTGAAATCTGCCAAAGATTTGCCTCCTGATGCACTTATCATTGAATACAGAGGGAAGTTTATGTTGAGAGAACAGTTTGAAGCAAATGGATATTTCTTTAAAAGGTATCTTTATTTTTTCCTCACATGTTCCTTTTTTTGTAGTTAAATATTGTATTTATGGATATTTAGATGCTCTGATTATATGTACTTTTTTTTTCCTGACATGATCATTTTAGTATTAAAGTGTAGTGTGGTTGACTAGTGTGACTAATATAACTTTTGAACTGTGATAACATTCACCAAAGAAAAACACAAAGATGTTTCTCAGTTTCTTACCAATCTTTGCCTTGTTGAAAATTTGAAAATAGTTCACTTGAAAGAAAAATCAAGGGGCTGGGATTGTAGCTCTGCGGTCGAGTGCTTGCCTAGCATGAGAGGGGCTGGATTCTATCCTCAGCACCACATAAAAATAAATGAATAAAAAGGGTGTTGTGTTCATGTACAACTACAAATATTTTTTTAAAAAGATAAGACCAAAATAGTTTGGATCTATAGGATATTAGTTAAGAATTCTGATTACCTGATAGTACCAGGAATCCTTTCTATGGTAGACCTGTGCTAATTCCTTGTAACATAATTACTAGCACCTGAGAATACCATGGTGACCACAGGCAAATCTCCTTCCTCTTTTTTTTAGACTGTGTTAGATTTGATTCCTATATTATTGCCACCACTTTAGCTTTGGTGGCATTGGAATGGTTTTGGAGGCCTCTTATGTCATTTGGGATTCTTGTGGAATTAATATCTTTTAATAGTCAATAGTTTCCTTGAAGTTTAGAAGTATGTTCCTATCTTTAGGGGGACAACATTGCCAATACATGTCTTACAATCTTCATTTTTTGTTTGGAACTTGAGTTTTAAAAGATGCCTAAGAATCTTTCCCTATTACATCAGATTTTATCTGAAATTTGAATAGTTTTAAATATACCAAGAAATATGGACTTTAAAAGCATGGAATTAGGTGGTGAGGATGGGGCTCAGTAGTAGAGTGTTCAAGGCCCTGGGTTCAGTCACCAGTACCAACCCCACAAAAGCATGGAATTAGAATCTTTCTGTAAAGGCAGTGGTCACTCTATCTTTGTAAATAATTTCTACCTCAAATTAATTGCCTTTTAACTTAGGTAAGGTTATAGGGACAAGTGAAAATCTCATTAGTATAAAGTAACAAGGGGAGGGAGGTTCTGTAGTCAAGACTAATTATTTAAAATTTTCACTAAGCTGGGTACTTTGGCACACACCTGTAATCCCAGAGACTTGTAAGGCTGAGGCAGGAGGATCACAAGATCAAGGCCAGTCTCAGCAATTTAGCAAGGCTTTAAGTAATTTAGCTAGACCCTGTCTCAAAATAAAAAGGGCTGGGGATGTCACTCAGTATGGAGCATCCCTGGATTCTATCCTCAGTACCAAAATAAAAATATAATACTTATTGTCTTTTTTTGAAATTTCATAAGTTTTTTAAAAAATCCATTCTTTGAATAGCCACTTCAGATTGTTATATACAAAAATGTTAATTCCTTACAAATTTTCTTTCTTTGTAGACCATACCCTTTTGTTTTATTCTACTCAAAATTTCATGGGCTAGAAATGTGTGTTGACGCAAGAACTTTTGGAAATGAGGCTCGATTCATCAGGCGATCTTGTACACCCAATGCAGAAGTAAGCTTACTGAAATCTTTTGGGAAGTGTTGTGTGGAATTTGAGCATTAAGTACAAAAGTCCAATAGTTTAGAATACTTCAATTCTTGATGTATTTTGCTCAGCGTCTTCCTGTTGTAAAAATTTAGGTGATAACAAATTATACATTGAAGAAATTGTGATGTTTCTTATAAGAGGGAATATTGGACTTTTTAAATCCTAGAAAGTCTAGTTAATGGGTAAATGTGCTATGATTTTATCGCGTTAGATGGTAAAGCTAAAATAGATTGTATGTTACTATAAAATTTTTAATGCTCTATTTTAGGGTGGAATATAAAATACTTTTGTTTTCTATATGCCAAAATACACATTTTTAATTTTATAATTACATTTTTAACTGGAACATTATAAGTTTTGGAGCCAGTCTTGCCTTCTCTGTGGCTTATTAGTTTTGCAACTTTATCCATGCCATATATTTTATCTATCAAAATGTATTATTAAGGAATAAAAGTATTGTGCAAAATATCTAGAACAGTGTGTGTCACACAGTGTTAGCTGTACCATTATTGCAATTCCTCAAAACTAAAATGCTATCACTTGTAAGACTACCAATTTCAGACATGCTAAAAAGAGAAAAAAATATGCATTAGAAAATACAGTTATAGTTTTTATTTTTTGTTTTGGATGCCACGTGGTAGTCTGTGGGGTGGGCGGATTGGTTGAAGGCATTGATGTACTTTTGAAAAATCTTCCCAGTTGGTAACCAATGATCAGTAAGTCTTAATAATTAATGGTATTTTCCCAAGTTGTGATTATAATGTACTTTTACTAATAGCTTTGCAACTTGCAGGAGAAGGTGCTTTTAAAGATAGAAAATGGTTTACAGATGTATTAAATTATTCTTTTAACAGGTGAGGCATGAAATTGAAGATGGAACCATACATCTTTACATTTATTCTATACAAAGTATTCCAAAGGGTACTGAAATTACTATCGCCTTTGATTTTGATTATGGGAATTGGTAAGTTCAAGTTGGTAAATAAATCATCTGTTGCTTCAAAGTAGTTCTTTAATGTTCATGTAATAATTTAGGTATTTTTATTGCTTTTATAACTTATTTATCATGAGGCAGTTAAAAAGTACTTGAAAATAAGCATTTGGTATTAGCTTTCATTATTGTTGTTTAAACATTTACACTGTACAATTACTAATGCTAATTTCAGCAATATGCTATTGACTTTATTAGGTTAGAATTTTTTTCTTCACTTTCTTGTATTTTAGGGGGTACGATTTTAGTTTTACAATTTATTTGGTTAATCGGATGAATAATTTCTAATTTGCCTCTCAAGACAAAATTGCATCAAATTTTCTTTGTGGTGTAAATTGAAAGGGTTTGTAGAAGAACCTCTAAGAAGCATGCTCTGAGTATAAAAACTTTTAAATTTTAAAATTTTAATATACAAATATGAATACAAATCCATGTACTTCACAGACTAATAGAACACTATCCATTGAAGCCTCTTAGATTTAGCAGATTGTATCACCCTTCTTTACATTTCTTTAACATTTTGTGGTTTTTATGTCGTCAATAGTATTTAGAATTTTTTGTTATCTTTAAATTTTATGTTCATTGTAACCTACTACTTTCTTCTGCATTCTATCTTTTCTCTTTCATTACATGAGATAAAACTACACTGTTGTATGTAGGCTCTAGTTCATTTATTTTCACTGCTAATGGCTTTTCTCTCTTCCATTACTGATGGATCTTTTTATTTATCACAATATGTTTCTGTGGCTTTTTGAACATGTATGCATTTGTACATGTTCTCTCTGTGGTAGGGAGAATGCACAGAATGTTTTAGAATGTGCAGACTCAGTTTTTAACCAAAAGTGAATTAGTGAATTGCTTTCCAAAGAAACTTTTTTTTTTTTAATACTTTCCTAAGCAGTTTAGTTCCTTTCTAATCCTTTAGTATTAGGACTTTAAAAATTTTTACTAATCCATGTGAAATGGTATCTTTACATTTTTATTTACCATTTTCTTTGATTATTTGTGACCAAATATCTTTTTCTTTCATTCTTTTCTTTTTTTTTTTTCCTTTCCCTTTTCTGTTTTGGTGGTGCTGGGGATTTAACTCGGTGTCTTGTGCATACTAAGCACATACTCTTCTACTGAGCTCCACCCAGCTCCCAACTATCTTCTTATGTGTTACCATTTGGACTTCCTCTTGCTAATTGCCTAATCATATTATCTGACCCTTTCTCTGCTTTGCAGTCGTTTTCTGTGTTCTTTATATATTCTGTAGCCTTTTGGGTTATAAGCATCTCAGTTTATTTTTCTGTATTTTTAAAAAACTGTGTTATGTGCTTTTTAAATGAAGATTTTTAAACAATGTCCATTATGTTTTCTCTCAATGTGAAATTCCTTTTCCTTCAGTATTCATCTCTAATAATTATTGGAAACAGACTTATCACAATAATTTCAGCTTTTCTTTTTTAAGTCCTTTCTGCCCCTAAAAGGTGGAAAATTTAACATAAAGACTCTTTCCATATCAATTTGGGAGATTGTACATCTCATTGAGATTAAGAGTATAAATTTTCCATAATCTGTCTGTTTTCAAATCCTAGCCCGGTTATTTATGATCTTAGACCAGTGTGTTCAGCTCTCTGTGCACCATTATCTCAAGTATGAGAATAATAATAATTCTCTCCTAACAGGAATGTTTGAAGATTTAATGAGCTAACACATGTAAACAAACCATTTAAAACAGTTTCTGGCACAAAGTAACTGCTTGATTAACATATCTGGTTGGGCATGTTATAATCCCCATAATTTAGGAATTTGAGGCATGAGGATCTCAAGTTCAAGATCAGCTGCAGCAATTTAGCAAGACTGTGTCTCAAAATTAAAAAACAAAAACAAAAACCCAGGCTGAGGATATAGCTTAGTAGTGACAGAGTACCCCTGGATTCAATCCCCAGTACCATAGGAAAAAACAGAGTACCCCTGGATTCAATCCCCAATACCATAGGAAAAAAAATACACATACATATGTAAATAAGTAAATAAAAGCTGTTGCTATCATTAAAGAAACCTGGTTATTGAAACATTCTTTAGAGTATACAAACTAGTTAAGTTTTAGTGTTTTTATACCTGGCATGTTTTTTATTTAGGTGAAATTTCAAGTCAGTGTTTTATAACACTCTGGGATTACTGAAGAAATTATGGGTTTTACTTTAATGTTAATTTGTATAATTAACTGTATCATTTTACTTTAAAAGACTCAAGAGTTTCAATTTATTGTTTTTTTTTTTTTTATATATTGTAAGACCCAGTTGGTAGTCCAAATTCAACATTTGTTATGAGAAAATAATATTTCTTTTGTGATAGTAGTCAGAAATACAAATTAGTTGAAAAGTTTAAGATTAAAGTCAATAATTATGTATAATTTTGTGAAGTTCCATCTTAAAATGAATAAGAAATTGCCCAATTTTGTTTAATATCTTGAATAAATATTTATTTGGATATCATTTCAGTAAGTACAAGGTGGATTGTGCCTGCCTCAAAGACAATCTAGAATGCCCTGTTCTGAAACGTAGTTCTGAATCCACGGAAAATATCAACAGTGGTTATGAGACCAGAAGGAAAAAAGGAAAAAAAGACAAAGATATTTCAAAAGAAAAAGATACACAAAATCAGAATATTACTTTGGATTGTGATGGAACAGTCAACAAAATAAAGAGTCCAGAAACAAAACAGAGAAAGCTTTCTCCCCTGAGATTATCAGTATCAAATAATCAGGTATCAAACTCTACTGATTTTTAATGAAGTTAATTTGTCAGATTTTTGCCCTTTTTAAATGTAAAGTTTCTTAACAATTTTTAAGTCCCTTTTGATGTTTAGTGAAGTGTAAATACAAGTTCTGTTACTATACATGCAACATTTGTTAAAAATTATTAAGAGCTGGGCATGTGATCCCAGCCGTTCAGGAGGATGAGGCAGGAGGAACCAAGGGCAGGCTGAGCAACTTGTCTTAAAACATAAAAAGGACTGGGGATGTGGCTTAGTGATTAAGCACCCCTGGGTTCAATCCCTGGTACTAAAAAACGAAATAGCCAACAAATCACTGCAGAATTGAAGATTTTTCCCAGACTAGAAAATTAGCGAATCCAGCTAGTGCTTTATGAAAATTTGGGCTTATACTTCTTCCCCATCAGGAAATATATGTTATTGGCCCTCAAAATAGAGATTAGGTTAAGAAATGTTTTGCTCATTAAGGGGCCCTATATTCTAATAATTTCCCTTTAAGTTTTAAATCGAAAATTTACCTAGTGCTTCATATTTGCAGGTTTTGTGAAAATTTTGTTTTGGGAAGAATATAAACAAAAGTCCATGCTATTGAGTTTATGAATAGAACTTTAGAAAGCAAAATTATTTGATGGCATTCAAGAAAGCAGTTTTAAGATGGCTTGTAATTTTTATATTTAGTTGTGGTTAAAAGACTTTTAAACAGTTTGATGTCAAGAGTTTATAGATGGAGTAACAGTTTTTTTATATAAGAAGTCATTTCCATCTTTCAGGAACCAGATTTTATTGATGATATAGAAGAAAAAACTCCTATTAGCAATGAAGTAGAAATGGAATCAGAGGAGCAGATTGCAGAAAGGAAAAGAAAGATGGTAAGTTGGGAAGCCATTATTAGTTGCTTAATGTTATGGTATTGGCTTAGTGACAGCTACTCTTTCTGTTGTTGCCTTTCCATGGGGCTTCTCACACTTTTCTTTGAAGTTAGCAAATTTGGGGCACATGATGTGCCATTGAGCATTTTTATTTGGCTTTGTCATTACCATTTAAGTAAATTTCACTAATTCTTTGTATTTTTACTGGTGCTCCTTAGACATTTTAAAATGTATGGCCTTTTAGAAATTGTATGTTTTAGAAATCATTAATATTTTTGAGTCTGAGAACTATTAATAAATTTTAATATTGCAATTACTGTCCAAAATTTCTTTCATTAATGTATCCTTTATCTTAATGATTTGATGTTTAACAATAGATCTTTAAGCTTTTTAATAGTACCAAATAAATGGCTTATGCAGAGCTAAAACAAAAACCCACCACTGGTTTGGTAGCTATTTCTGTTTTATACTGTTATAAAATAAATAAGGTCTTCATTAAAATCAGTTTAGGATTTATATCCTTTGTACTATTTATTTGCAGTTATTTTGTCAGCATAAAAAGTAGGACAAGAAATATCCTAAAATCTTAGTGGTAAATAGTTAACTCTATCATTGTATACTTTTTAAGATTTGAAATTAACTATACACACCAACTAATGATCTTCCCCATTCCATTTACTTGTCTCATTTAATGTTCTAGGGGTTTTCAATACTGTTCTCCACGTAATCTCAGGTGTCACATGTTGGGGTGGGGTCTTTGTAGACTTGCTTACTGCACATCCATTCTGTCACCACAGTGGCCATCCTTCTATGCTGTGTTAATTCTGTGCTTTCTATTGTAAAAGCAACACAGAACTGTTTTCTAGCCTTGGAATTTTAGAATCACTTGTCTGTTGAGACCGGGTAGTATTAGAGATAGAAGAAAAATACAGGTGAAAATTTGGAGGCTGGTTATAAAGGAGGAGTTCCTATATCTAAGGTTATTTTGAATCTTTTAAAAATAAAAACATATTTCAGTTGTAGTTGGACACAATACCTTTATTTTTATGTGGCACTGAGGATTGAACTCAGCGCCTGGCATGTGCTAGGTGAGTGCTCTACTGCTGAGCCACAAATTCTCTAAAGCCCTTTCTTGACTATTGATCTTTAGTATTGTTTTGTCCATTCCCCAATTGCTTGTATTTCTATTAGTCATGTAGGAACTTTTAGGAGACCAATTTAGAGTATCAATGATTTTCTTAAAAGGGCATGTGTTTCATAGGAAGAGCGTGTTTTACAAATGCATTAATAATTTTGAAAAATATCTGAATTTTTGTTCTATGTTCATACAGTATTTTTATTCAGATAACATTCTCTGAAAGATCTGACTATGGATCTATTTTTTAAAAGTTAACTTATCCATCAGTGCTGAGAATAATAGTGGAACTTAGAACATTTCCAGATCCCAGAAAAAAATTGGATATTCTTTTGATGTTAAACTTCAATGAGAAAAAATATATGCTTAATCATGATTACCTTTTGGTTCTGATTTAGCTTATTAGCATGCTGTATTAATATAGAATAATTCTTCAAAGTTTTTATATTAATTTGAGTTAGCATATTCATCTGCTTCTAAGGTGACTGTGAAGATGGAAAACTTGAAAAGTATGTTTATAACTGAAAGGACATAAAACAAAACTTAAATTTTTTTCTTTGGATCTTCAGTCCTCAAAGTCATTCACTCTTATTTCTTACTGTATAATTCAAATTTAACGTTTGAATTATAAATTTTTGGATTTAATCAAATAACACAGAACCACACATTCTAAGGTTCTCAAGCAATTAATATGGTTTTTTCTTACAGGGTGTATTTAGTTTTGAAAATTTTGGTATGATTCAACCTTTATTTTTTCTAGTCTTTGCCATTTATAAGGTTAGATTACAACTAGTAGTTGGAACTGGAGAGTTATATGATAATTCTGTTTGGGGGATCAACATAGGCTGTATTTTGGGAGTGGGCTATAGGGAGATAGGGTTGGCTACAAACGGTACAAAATGTTCAATGAAGGTTTCATTATATGGTTAGGATACATGACCCTTTTCATTCTCAGTTCTGTTTTCCCTCACATCTCTTTTGATGTTTTGTAATGTTCTTTTATTAACATTTTTCTTTTTTCATCCATTATATTGTGTGTTTCCCCTTTGAACAAAGCAAACTCGTGCCTAAATTGTATGGAACTGAATGGATGGTTAGTGTCCATTTCCTCTTATCTGGCAAGAGATATTGGGAGGAGGTAGTACATTCTAGGCTTGCTCTGCCACTGAACCAGATCACCAGCCCTTGACAGAGACTTCTTTGATGCGGAGTTTGAAATGGCTTGGGAAACTTTGAGCCCATTTAAGCTGTGGCCCTGGAAAATACAGTAGAACACTCACTTGATTCCAAAGCTGAAGTACTACAGAGTAGGCTCTCTTTTTGGTACATGTTAAGGTAGGATTAGGGGGCCATAATTAGATGGAGAGAGCAGGTAAAAGGGGAAGGAAAACATGCCTTTAATTCAACAAGCAATCATTTTTAAAGTGGCAAACCTTTTGAAAAATTTAAACAACAAAGATGCTTTTCCTCATTTCTAATTATATCAATAAAACATATTTCTGAAATAATTTTCTGTAAGCACCTTCTTAATATATTTTGGAGTACAGTCTTGATAGTACTTGATTATTATAATGAGATTGCCTAAACTGGAGTTCATGGAAGTTGATTCAGGGTGGTCTTCACATTAAAAGGACAGAAATTTGAGAAATAGTGTAAGACTATTAAAGGATAATCATATAGCTAGGATCATCTAGATTTAATTGTATTTCACTAGAACATGTGTACTCCAAGGGAAAGAGTTTGTACTTTTATTCATTGTCATAGCCCTGACTCCTAGACAGGGAAAAGTACCTAGCTTTTTAAAAAATAGATGTTCAGTAAATGGGCCAACTAAAAGTTCATGACAGCCATTTACGGAGAGATAGGTTCATGAATGTGAATTACATGAAGCTTATAGCCTAGGTGATGCCCTGTAAGATTTGTCCGGGATTCCCCACAATTTTCTCAGCTCTTGTCCTTCACTGGAGAAAGTATTCCATAAAAGTCTCATTTGTTAAAGAGTGCTTTTAGCTAGTTGGGTTTAGTAAACCTTTATCTCTAACCTTTAAGATTCCCAGTATATATAGTATTTTCCAAAACTCTCCTTGTATACTCTTGGAATTTTTTGTGGGTGATACCTGACATCCCACAGATTTTTATTCTCTCTCTCTCTCTCTCTCTCACACACACACACACACACACACCCAGGGAAAACACTGTTATTCAGAATCTATGCTCTTACTACTAATGCCTTTGTAAAACAAAGTAAGAGGAAGGTAATTTGTTGCAAGAAAAGTCATCTCATGATAGGACTGTGGTGCGTATCATCTAAATCACTGTTTTCTTCTTAGAGCATGCATAAAGTGATGTTGATTAATAATTTTCTAAGTTTCTCTCATCATAGCAATTAGGAATTGTATTTCTCAAGATGAGTAATAAATATCATGGTACTGAATAGTAAGAGAGGACCAATTTGTTTTATAGGTATTCTGTACAAACAAAATGAGGGTGTTTTGCTTTAGCTGCTTTATAATAAATTTGATTCTCAAAATCCTTTGAATGCTTCCAGTTATGTTTTCACATAAGTGGCACATAGAATATACATGCCCATTTCTTAGTGGTTTAATAAAAATGTGAATTGACTGCTATATACACCAAGTGCCATTTAAGGTACTAGCTGAGCAAAAATGACAAGGTTACTGCTCTGGAGAAGCTTTCATGGAGGATGGGGTGGGACTAATCATGACTGTCAAAAGAGGAAACAGCACCAAGTGTAAATTGTCACATGATAGAACAAATGGAGATACCACACAAGCCATAGTCTCTCAGTTGCTGTTTGAAAGTAGGGAGTTTTTTTCTGAGTAAGGAGTCTCATTTTAATACTACATAGTAGGTTAATTTGGTAGGTGGGCTCTGTCTTTCCATTTCTTTGAAAAGCTTTTTTTTTTTTTTTTCCATTTTTATTTTAACTTAAAACTTGTTTATTTTGAAATTTTCCATTTCACTTTGGACCAAGGATACTAAAAACTAAGTAAAGCAAAACCAGAGGTATGGGAAGACTGCTTTCTAGCCACTGTGAAGACTCCACCAGGCAGTTTCTCTAGGGTCAGGTCTCATACCCTACATTCTGGATGCCACCAACCCAGAGAACTATTTTCAGTGCCCAGCATCTGTTTTAATTTTTTATTTTAAAGAAAAGCCACTTCCTCCTAGTAGCAGTTCAGAAAACAATCAGGAGTTCCTAGGTGGCTTTCTTCCTTTTTTATTTTTCCTTAGTTCTTAGACCCAACTAACCAGCAAATTACCCTCTAAGGCTACTTAATAGCATTCACAAGTGTTTAATTATAATACTTTATTCAGTAAAGTTAATTTTTTTAGTTGCTATACTGTACATTTTAATTTTTATTTTTTATTATATAGTCTTGAGTCATGTGGACTTTAAGCATTCCCTATCTACTGAGCAGGAAACTCAGATTAAGAATTATATGTCATGGGCTGGGGTTGTGGCTCAGTGGTGGAGCACTTGGCTGGCATGTGTGAGGTTCAATTCTCAGCACCATACACAAATACATGAATAAAGGTTCATCAATGTCTAAAAAAAAATTATGTCTGTTACAAAAATTAATTACATTCCATTTTAACTCCAATGTGAATATAATTGAAATAAAAATTCCTAATACCCACACCTCAACTAATAGGGATATTATGAAGCAGACTTTTTTGTTCTGTTTATAAGAAATTATAATACTCGTATTTACTATTATGAATAAAAACCATGATTAGATGAAACATATGGGAGATTCCATGTACTTCAAGCAGTAACACCTAACACTTGGCATTAACAATATGTCAAAAGTTAGCAGTTTCCTGAAAGTAACCCCTCACCTCTTTTTTCAAAAGTAACCCTATCTAATTCTGTTTCAGGATCTATCAGTTCCCATGGCTTGAAATGAATTATGGTTACAGAATATAGCATCACAGTAGTAACCCTATGTGGTTAATATAATCTGAACTGTATCTATCACAGGTTTTAGGAGCTATGGGCAGTTGACTAGTATTAGTATCTATAGTCACCTATAACTACCTCAGCTTTATTTATAAGTTATTTTTCAATCAGATTTTTAAATGGGTGACAAATTTCCAGTTATTTTAAAGTATACCCAATTTTATGTCAAAGAATATATTAGATGCAATGATAAATGACATATGAACCTTAAGGAATTTAAAAGTAGATCCATGTACTAATAATTTTATCAATGTAGAAAACCAGTCATGTTTACACTCCCAATATTTGTATATTTTAAGATAAAGCTAGGTTAATGTTATTAAGAAATGTTTAGTGTTTTCAGCTTTATTTCTACACACACAGCAATTGTTATAATGCAGGAAAACTTATGCTGTATTTTGTTTTACATTACATAGTATGTTAGTGGTTGTTAATTGGAAAAAAAAAGTTAAATTAGAAGCTAGGAAAGTTGCATAATAATTATGCAAAGGTCCCACCTTTGACAGGGTCACTTAATCTAGAGGGATTTTGGTTTCTTCTGTAGTACAATACTACATTTTTAAAGATCCTGTTCCAGCTCTAAAAGATTAAACCATCTCTCAGGGATTTTGCTTTAATGATCAAATAGTTGTACCTGTATAAATGGAAATTGCATATTTATTTGAACAAGTTTGGGTCAATTTTCTTTACGTAAGTTCATCCCCGACCCTCACTCTTATAGGGGAATGTTGAACTAAGTCAAAGAACCATAGTGTAAATTCATAACTATTTTAGAAGATCCAGAATCAGAATATAGAAAATATTATGCCAGGTATGATGATACATGTTATTCATCTATTCACTTCCTGAGAAGGGTAAAGCAAGACCACAACTTTAAAGCCTGACTGGGCAACTTAGCAAGATCCTATCTCAAAAATTAAAAAAGGGCTGGGGAAGCTCAGTGGCAGAGTGCCTCTGGGTTCAATCCTCAGTACAACAAAAAAGAAAAAAAAGTATCTTCTTTGGTGCCTCCCTTTTGATAATTTTTTTGTTTGACAAATATAATATTTGCTAAGACAAGTTTCTTTTTCTAGGAAAATATACTTTTTGCACATATTAAAAAATTTTTGAGAGAGGAAACCATAGTAATTAACCTCCAGTTCAACAAGTGGAAGCTATTTAGAGTTTTGGAAAAGCCCTGATATACAGAGTCAGCATTTTTATAGAAAGCCATATAAAACGAGGTTAGGTAAGTTAATTAAAAGGACCAGAAACATGAAATTAATTCCATCAGGCAAGAATTTGGCTTTAAAACTTGCAGTCCCAATGAGCACATAATGTCATCTTTTGAGCTGAAGCATGGTGGTGGCCTGTAATCCCAGCCACTTGGGAGGCTGAGGTAGGATGATTGCAAGTTCAAGGCCAGTAATTTAGCAAGGCTCTAAGCAACTTAGTGAGACCCTATCTCAAAAAATAAAAAGGGCTGGGGATGTGGCTCAGTGGTTAAGCACCCCTGGGTTGAATTCCCCATTACCTAATAAATTAATCATCTTTTGCCTGTATAGTTTTTTAAGTGTTTGATTACCACCCTGGACCAGAAGAGCTAATGAGATGGAGAGTTGCAGAAATTTATCCATAAACAAATAATCTTACCTCTTTGGACCATTTCCTTGCCTGTAGAAAAAAAAAAGTTGAGGACAAAATATTTTGTCACATTTGCAGTATGGCTATTCGCTGTAAAAGTATCCTCAGATGGTTTGTTTGACACATTCTACTTTCGTTTTCTTACTAAGTGTAACAAAAAAGAAAAAACACAGAAAAAGCAGTAATTTTCAGAGTGTAGGTGTCTTAATGCTTGAATCTCTGCTGATTACTGAAGCGCCAATATTGACAAGACTTTGGCAGCCAGATCTTGAGTTTCTGATCTTTCTTTCTTTCTTCCCCACATCGATGACAATGAAGGAGGAAAGACAAATGGATCTGAGCCTCAGGACCTGGTTCTTTCATTTGGAGAACTGGACAGTTGATGGACGTGCTTCCTGGTTCTGGTTGAGAGCTGAAGCATTTGCCAGGCCCTCTGGTCAAGGCTCTGGGTCTTGGTTTTAATGTTCTCTATCCAAAGAGAACTGATGCTCAAAGGAACTCTTGCTGTTCCCTCAGTCCCTGTCTTGAAGTGTCAGTTTAAGAAAGGAAGAGCAGAAGGTAGAGGAATGCCTTATAAGAGTTAAAATGGAGGGCAAGAGGGCTAAAGTAGAAATAAAAATATTTATGGAACGCCTATCAATTTCTAAGTACTGGTTAAAAACCTCACATTTTCAGTTTGAACTAAATAATAATCCAGTGAAGTGTAAGTATTATTATCCACATTTTATAGCCTCAGAAAGGTTAACTAACTTGCTTAGAATCATGGAGATGTTTACTAAAATGTACCCCCACAACATCCTGCTAAAACATAGCAAAAATATATTGACTGATATCTTAAGTGCATAGTAATTTTGCTTTTTCACATACCATTTCATTAGGAATTTTGAATTTTTTTAAAGGTTGGCTTCTGTATTTAAATTTTTTTTTCAAGTTAGTGTAAAGCATGGTCATTTTGAGGCTTTTTGTTTTGTTTGTTTTATCCTTATCATTAGCACTCAATCAAGTGTTCTTTTCATGAAATACATTTGTAATAATAAGGCTTACTGAGATGATGTTTGGGATTTTTAGATTTTGAATAAATATAAATTGTTTTTCCCCCATATCTAATAACAACAGACTTGGTTTGCTAACAGTATCATAGTAAAAAATTTTGTAATTTGCCTGTACATCTGATCTGGACTTTAGAATATTTACTTCAGAGCAATGACTAATAAAATTGAAATCTTGTAGACTAGAGAAGAAAGGAAAATGGAAGCAATTTTGCAAGCTTTTGCCAGACTTGAAAAGAGAGAGAAAAGACGAGAACAAGCTTTGGAACGGATCAGCACAGCCAAAACTGAAGTTAAAACTGAATGTAAAGATGCACAGCTTGTCAGTGATGCTGAAGTTATTCAGGTATTATTCACGTTTAGTTTTATGTTTCCATTTAAACTATTTCAAATAAAATTTGCATTTGGGCATGGTGGCACAGGCGTATAATCCCAGTGACTTGGGAGGCTGAGGCAGGAGGAGCTCAAGTTTAAGGTCAGCCTTAGCAATTTAGTGAGACCCTGTCTCAAAATAAAAGGACAGGGAGTGTGGCTTAGTAGCAGAGTACCCCTGGGTATACAAACCAACAAATTTACATACACAATTGAGTTAAATCTGTAATAAATTTTTAATTGTGCAGTTTTTAGATCCGATGGGAAACTTAAGACTTGGAATTTAACACTATACTACTTTGTTTTTGAGTAATAACATTTTTAATTATGTGAATTTATTATGTGAATTCATAAATTTTGTCAAGTTAGCTTCTGAAGTATCTATAAACATAAAATTCCATTGTATTGTATTTTGAATTAGGAACAAGTAAAGGAAGAAACTGCTAACAAGCCAACCCCTGCCAAAGTGAATAGAACAAAACAGAGAAAAAGTTTTTCTCGAAGTAGGACTCACATTGGACAGCAGCGTCGGAGACACAGAACTGTCAGCATGTGTTCAGATATCCAACCATCTTCTCCTGATATAGAAGTTACATCACAACAAAATGATATCGAAAACACTGTACTTGCCATAGAACCAGAAACTGAAACTGCAGTAGCAGAAATAATTACTGAAACTGAAGTCCCAGCACTTAATAAATGTCCTACAAAGTACCCCAAAACAAAGAAGGTATGACTCTTAATGAATTTAAGAAGTTTTCCAAGTGTCTTATGCTATTAAATGGTTATATTGGTGTTTAGAAATCAGTCTATAACTATCTCATAATGAACTGCACAAGAGGCAGCATCATTTTTATGCAGATATTTTTGAGTAAGAATGAAAAATGAAGTATAAAATCAAATACTATGTTTGTATTATTGTAAAGATGATAAACTATATCAAGACTTTTACGTTGCCCTATGTACAAAATTTATATTTCTCTAACTAGTTTTAGATGTGTTACAGTACAGCCCTACCTGGTGCTGGGGACTGAATCCAGGGCTATTTGGTAAGCAAGTAGTCTACCACTGAGCTACATCCCCAGTCCCTATCTTTTATGGTATTTTTTATAAATTCCATTGCTTAGATTACAAGAAATAAATGTGATGAAATTATTGATTTCAATAGAATGTAGTAAGAATGTGAATTTAGTAAGAAAGTAGTTTTATATCAAATTATTAATAAAAATCTTTGGAAATGCACTGTCAGAGTTAACAAAGTAATTATTTGGAAACTAATCACTAAATTAAACCAACCTGGGCTTTTCAGCTAAAAATGTAACAGAACAGCTTTAATGAAGCTGCTGTTTTATCCCACCGAGATTAAAGGACAAAACACTGGTACCAAAGTGGTCATTTTTTAGGCTCTTTGGGGAGGGAATAGATCATAAATACATCCTCCTTTCACCAAATATTTTGAAACTTCATTTATTTAGTTTTGTTTTTATATAATTCAGTAGAGTTTGCAGGCAGGCTGCTAAATGAAGAAAAGTTTATTCTATTGTGAACCAGGGATTATACTTCAATAACAGATGTTAATTTGCTTGCCAGAGAGTCAAAGGTTTGAGATCAAAGTACAGGTGTTTCTGATTCAGAGTCAGTGCTTTCCTTATTGCACACCTACCTAAGTCAGTAAGCCAATCTTATCTTTAATAGTGTTACTTTTGCCCACCTTGGAAGGACAAAAAATAATTTCAACTTATTTGTAATAGGAAAAAAAAAACTCGGGATTTAAAACACGTGAAACTACCTTCTAGACTATAAATGACATAAACCCTGCCTTTTAATTAATAAATGACTAAATTGTTCTGGTCTAAGAGCAGAAGTTACTGTCTCTCTCTGGTGTGAAATGTAAGCTTCTAAATCCTGTATGTTTCTCTTCAAAAAGCTGTCAAACAGTGCCAAATTATGCCTCCCCATAAATACCTTCTTCAACTTAATACATAATTCTTTGCCACATAGCATTCTGAGAGCTTTATATGTGTTTCTTAAAAACTCATTTAGTTGTCACAACACTTTTGTAGAGCTAAGTTCTGTTATGACCCTTTTTTTTTTACAGACACATCTTGAAATGTGGAAAAGTTACATAACTTGCTCACAGTCACAGTATAAGTGGCAAAGACAGGATCATTCCCTAGCAGTCTGGTTCTAGACTTCATGTTTTAACACTATGTTCTGTTGTTTGTCATACAAAGGGAGCTATATACACACACAAAAAAGAGGGATACTTCTGAAAGATAGGAGCTATGTACTAGGGATTGAACCCAGGGGCACATTACCACTGAGCCACATCCCCACCCCTTTTTTCAGGGGCAAGGGGGTACCCAGGATTGAACTCAGGGGCACTAAGCTACATCCCCAGCCTTTGGGATTATAGGCATGTGCTGGCGCACCTGGCATCCCCAGCTCTTTTTAAGACAGGGTCCCATTGAGTTGCTTAGGGCCATGCTAAATTGCTGCGGTTGGCCTTGAACTTGTGGTCCTCTGGTCTTAGCCTTCTGATTTGCTGGTACTGTAGATGTATGACAGATTTTTTTTTTAAATGTGCATATTTCTGTATGTTTATATAATTGTATGAGTAAATGTATATATGCATACATGCTTTTTCTATAATCTACATTTGTAATATGAAATTCAAAGGATTTTGATAACCAAATAAACATGAATACCCAGAAAGCAAAAAAAGAAATTACCAAGAATTAAGAAAAGGACTAGGTAAGCCAGGGGTAGTAACACACACATATAATCCCAGCTACTCAGGAGACTGAGGCAGGAGGATTCAAAGTTTGGAGGCCAGCCTGGCAACTTAGACCCTGTCTCAAAATAAAAAGGGCTGAAGATGTAGCTAAGCACTAAAGTGCCCATGGATGCAACCTCAATTTATCTCTTAGTACTACTAAGAGTTTTGTTTTTGAGTACATAAACTGACCTCATCTCTAGGAGACTGTGAGGAGCGCCTTGGGTAGAAAAATGCTACTTAACATTTTAAGCATATCATAAAGGCAGCAACAAACCTTAAACTTAAGTGTTGGTGGTACTGATGTCTCCTAAATTTTACAGTATTAAAAAACCGTGTTACAGGTAGCTCAGTGGTAGAACATACAGATAGATGCCCTGCGTTCAATCTCCAGCACCACACAAAAAAATTGTGTAAAACATTTCAAGAATAAAATGAAATGTAGAATGATACACTGATTTTTGGTCATTGCATGTATGTATCAGTTTCTACTTTGCCTTAGAATATTCTATGGGAGAATCTGTGCAATTAAATATATAGTGACCCCAATTTTCCTTTTCTCTAGCACTTGGTCAATGAATGGTTAAGTGAGAAGAATGAGAAGACAGGAAAGCCTTCAGACAGCCTTTCAGAAAGGCCTCTGCGTATAACTACAGATCCAGAAGTGTTAGCTACACAGCTCAATTCTTTACCAGGCCTCACTTATAGTCCCCATGTATACTCTACTCCTAAGCATTATATTAGATTTACTTCACCATTCCTTTCAGAAAAAAGGAGAAGGAAAGAACCTACTGAAAACATTTCTGGCTCGTGCAAAAAGGTAAACTTTTCTTTCAATATAAAAATCTAGAATGAGCCAAATGTTATTCATTTTGGAATTGGCTCTGCATTTATAGGCTATATGAACAGGTAACAAATCCTATTCACATTTTACTCTCCATTTTATTCAGCGATGGTTGAAACAAGCTCTAGAAGAAGAAAATTCAGCAATTTTACACAGATTTAATTCACCCTTTCAAGAAAGATCCAGAAGTCCTACAGTCAATGGTGAAAATAAAAGTCCACTACTATTAAATGATAGCTGTTCCCTTCCAGGTAGAATTTCTTTTTAGTATTGTTTTAACATGAGAAATGTGTCAGGATATACATCTTTCTAACAGGCATAGTCTCTTTACTGTTGTGTACTTTAGCAGAGAAACACATTCTGATAAACTTTCTCATTTCTGTTCTCCTTTCTCATTTCTGTTCTTCTAGCCTTTTAGAGGAAGATAGATACAAAAACCTTGCTGTGTAATATGGTGTATGTTTGGGTTACAGTTGAATTTCTAATGGCTTTGTTTTGGCTTTGGGGCTGGGTGATTTCAAACAGATTCAAAAAGACTCTTAGAAAAACCTATTAGTACTTATAGGACAGCAGGACAATGCTTGCTAATAGTGAAATTCACTTATTTGGGTGTGGGGAATATTTCATATTTGTTTTTTTTTTTTTTTTTAAAAACGTTTAGTTTTGTGGTGAAAGTCATCATACTAACTATTGATGAGATTTTATCTTTCCCAGAATGTAATAGAATACTTATAGTAATTCTAACAGATTACTATCTCACCAACAGATTTAACTACACCACTAAAAAAACGAAGACTTTATCAGTTGCTAAATTCTGTTTACTCAGAAACCTCCACACCTACTCCTTCACCATATGCTACACCAACTCATACGGATATTACTCCTATGGACCCATCATTCGCCACTCCTCCACGGATAAAATCAGATGATGAAACTTGTAGAAATGGTTATAAACCTATATATTCACCAGTTACTCCAGTAACTCCTGGTACACCAGGAAATACCATGCATTTTGAGGTGAGAAATTTCAATGAAAAAAAATTTTCAACTCTTGGTTTTTGAGTTTCATTAAGAACTTGGCCCACATTCCCTCTAACAATTAGTGTGCTGAGAATATAAAATAAAATTTGGGAACATATATTCATATGAATTTAAACATTTTTATTCAATGTTTAACTTTCCTCTTAATATATACAGTAGACTAAATATATCAAATTGACCTGAAAGCAAATATCTTGAGGAATGGAAATAAAATAATAAAGTCTAAAACCAAAATGTTTCTAATTTTAAGTTTTCATTATAAAAACACCATATATTTAGTTCATGTATTTTAATTTTCAATTCCCATTATTCCTTTTATATAGAATATTTCTTCCCCAGAAAGTTCTCCGGAAATAAAGAGACGCACTTACAGCCAAGAGGTGAGCTGTTACTAAAAAAAAAAAAAAAAAAAATGTTGCTGATTGTTTGGGTAATATCATTGTTTTGCCTAAATTACTGGTAGATTTTGAAGTAAACAGTCTCAATATCATTATATGACTTTTTTTTTTTTTTAATTCTGTAAACAGGGATATGAGAGATCTTCAACCATCTTAACTTTGGGGCCTTTTAGAAATTCCAGTTTAACTGAGTTGGGTCTGCAAGAAATAAAGACCATTGGTTATACCAGCCCTAGGAGTAGGACTGAAGTCAACAGGCAGTGCCCTGGAGAAAAGGAACCTGTGTCAGACCTTCAACTGGGACTGGATGCAGTTGAGTCAAGCGCTTTACATAAAACAATGGAAACACCTGCACATGACAGGACTGAGCCTAACAGCCAACTGGATTCGAGTCACTCTGGACGGGGCACAATATATTCTTCCTGGGTAAAGAGTCCTGACAGAACAGGAGTTAACTTCTCAGTGAACTCCAACCTGAGGGACTTGACACCCTCACACCAATTGGAGGTTGGAGGAGGCTTCCGAATAAGTGAGTCAAAGTGCCTGATGCAGGATGATACTAGAGGCATGTTTATGGAAACAGCTCTGTTTTGTACTTCCGAAGATGGGCTTGTCTCTGGTTTTGGACGGACCGTTAATGACAATTTGATCGACGGGAGTTGCACACCCCAGAATCCACCACAAAAGAAAAAGGTTACAAATTTAACGATTTATAGTCCTTTCATAATGTTTCTTAGTATTGAGGGTAATTGATAGATGTATTTTGTAAGGCATTCCTAATTCAGTTATTTGAGTTAAAATTTTTATGTGTACATTTCTCCCCAGATTATCTGTACATTTTAAAACACTTTGTAAATATTCACTTGATCAGAAAATGTTTACAGAAAAAGGAAAAATTCTAGTGCTATGAATTGTCTTTGTTAAGATATATGGGTTTGAGAGAAACCTCAATATATGAGTAACTTAGAAGTAACCCCCCTCATTCAAAAGATATTCTTTTTAACCTTATATTAAGCAAGCATCCTTGTAATTGAATACATGTTCCTTTCAGCATCCCATAATACCAATACTATTTACACCATGGACATAAGTATTTTGTAAAGTATGATACTAATAATATTATACTGTGATACGTAAGTTCCATGATTTACCACCATTATTTCATTGGCAGACATGTTGAGACGATTTAGAATGCCTTATTTCAGAGGAATGGGAGAAACTACATACAGCACTTATTTAATTTGTTAATAGGCTTATTGCTTTACAAGTCAAAGAATTTTAGTGATGTGTGCTTTTAATTTTTATAACAGAGTCCAGTTGGCAACTTTGTGGGAAGCAATGTAGTATAGTGGAAAGAGCACGGGCTTTCAAGTAAGACCTAGGTTCGAATCCCGGCTCCAACACTCACCAGCTGTGTGACCTTGAGTGAGTGAGTTACTCAATTTCCTCATCTGTAAAATGGGGATGATAATATACCTATTTCATAGGATTGTTGTGAGGATTAAATGAGATAATGTATATGAATCATCTAAGTACAATGCCTAATATATAGTGGGCATTTGATAGTTAATTATTTTATGTAATTTTCTTAATATAAATAAAAATAATTTTCTTTAGAAAAAAGAATGAATTGATTCTGGTATGAAAGACAAGAATAAAAGATCTGCCTTTTCTTTCTTGCTTTAAGGTTTCTCTATTAGAATACCGTAAGAGACAACGTGAAGCTAGGAAAAGTGGCTCTAAGACAGAAAACTTTCCTCTGGTTAGTATATCACTTCATGCAAGTGGAAACCTGAGCAACAATAGTGATGGGTGTGTCCAAAGTAATGAAACCGGAGAACAGGCAGAAAACACAGCTAGCCTGCCTTTACCAACACCAGCTGCAGTTTATAATGCTACTTCTGAAGAAACCAGCAATAACTGTCCTGCTAAAGAAGCTGCCAGTGAGAAGAATGAACCTGAAGTTCAGTGGTAAGCCTGTTTTGAAATATGCTACTCTGGCAAGAAAAAGATTCCTGCTGTGGTTCTCCCAAGGCTAAGTGGATGGTGACTTGAAACATCCCTGATAGTGTTTTAAACTAGCTGTTTGTTTATTTGCCGGAGTTGTTAAAGGTGTATTGTAATCATTCCTTTATTTATCCACATTTTTCATTCAAATTTTCCTCTTGAAAGAATTTTTGTCACAGTCAACATCATGCCATTTCTTTAAAACCCCTGCCATTACCTTGAAAGAAAAACAGGGTTAGAGTTTTCTTTGGTAGGAGTGTTAGCAGCAGCTGTTTTTAAGGTGAGGTCTTGGCAAAGTGGCCAAGAGGACACAGTTACTCTGCTTCTTGTTCCTTTCCAAATCCTGAAAGTGTGTAAGGCGTTTTTTTTGTTGTTGTTGTGGTTGTTTGTTTTTTTTTTTTTTTTTTTTGGTTGAAGCATATTTTGGTACCTTTGGTAACCTAAAGTGACTTTCCGAATATTCCTACATTAAAGTTTCCCCCTTCTTCTTTTCACCAACAAATTGGTGGAGGCAAAAAGAATTAAGTCTTAGTTATTCAAATAAGTCTCAGTTTTGGGAGCAGTTAGCAAAATAAGAGAAGATTAGCTATTTTCAAAGCTTTAACACCGAAGTATTTTCCCAATAGAGCAAAATCCTTGAACTGAGAGGACATGTGGACCTTCATGGGACAAAGAATAATCTAGCTGGCAGTAGCTTCTTTGAATTAAGGATGAACTAATTTTATTTTAAAGGACTGCCTCCACTTCAGTAGAACAAGTGAGAGAAAGGAGTTACCAGAGAGCTTTACTTCTTAGTGATCACCGAAAAGATAAAGACAGTGGTAAGTAAGCTTGTTCTTTCACCGAAAAGTGGAGACAGCTAGTCACCCTGCACCCTTGTTCTTTGTAAGCTCTAATATTCTTTTTGGTTACTGCTCTGCTTCATCTCTAGGGGGAGAATCACCTTGTGTCTCATGTTCACCGAGTCATGTTCAGTCTTCACCTTCATCTCATTCAAATCACATTTCCCAGTTGCAAGCTAAAGGCCTAGCCCCTTCTTTCAGTGAACTCATGGAAGGTCAGTAAGCAGATGACCTATCATGGCTATATTGTTTTAAACACCTTTTTGAATCAGAAAAAAAGTTGCTTTGATTAATAGAAGGTACATCGTTTTGTGGTGTCAATAAAAGGCAGTATTTATCGTGTAATGTTACATTTACCATAGTTTCTTTTGTTTTACAGACCCTGACTCTGAAAATCCAGAACCCACAACTACAAATGAATGTCCATCCCCAGATACTTCTCAAAACACTTGTAAAAGCCCTTCAAAAATGAGCAAGGTAATAATAGACTTTGAACATGGCCATTCAGAAAAGTTGATGGTAATATGCAGGCAGTTTTTTTCCTACTGCATTAAGATTCAGTTTATGATTTCTGGATTCTTCCTTCTGAACGTACTCAGTTGTGTTTAATATTTTATTTGGTCTGTCACTGAGATTGACAGACAATTTGGATCAAACACTCAAGTTTTCTAGGCAAACTTTTAAAACTTACGTTTTTTAAAAAAGTTCACCTCTATTCTAGTGGTATCTAGGAAACTCATAACTTCTTGAAATACATACCTAGTCAATTCTCTAAAAACAAAAGGTCAGGTGAAAATTCATGTAGAGGAATGATAATCTGATGTGTCAGGTAAATCACTGGGAACAGAAGATATTTTAACAACAAAAAGATCTTTTGGATTATTTACGTGTGAACAGTTTACAAGGAAAATGAAAAGGTATTAAAAATCAAAACGGTCCAAGAAAGCAAGTTTATTTACCCAAACCAATTTATGCCCTGGATAGAGTATTCAGTTATGGAACTTAATCCTGAAGAGTGTTACTTTAAGACTCCAAAATGGGTCTTTCTCCTTACTGAAAAACGCAGACTAATTTCCTCAACTTGTCTTCAGTAAAATTCACTATATACACTCACCGGAATTTGTTGAAACTACTCACAGAAACTGGCCTTGCAACATCTCAAGCCTCTATTGTTGACTTCTCAACCCTACATTTCCTTCCCCGCTTTAAAATTTAACATATTAAACCAACAAGAATAAAACTCAAGGTTCATAAAATGTTTCTTAAGTTTATGTAATATATCAAGTTTATTTGTTTTCTCTTCATAGCCTGGTTCACCGGGACCTGTAATTCCTGCTCAACCACATGGGAAAATACTCACAAAACCAGACCCCCATTGGGAGACAACAGTTATTGTATCAGAAGCTGAGAACAGTGTTCACCTAAAAACAGAGCTCCAACAAAAACAGCTATCAAATAACACCCAAGCACTTTCAAAGAACCATCCTCCTCAGCCACATGTTCGCAGTTCATCTGAGCAACTTTCACAAAAGCTGCCTTCTGCACCAACGAAGTTGCACTGTCCTCCATCACCCCACATAGAAAACCCTCCTAAGCCATCTACGCCTCACACACCTGTACAGCATGGTTATCTCTCACCAAAGCCTCCTGCACAGCAGTTAGGATCTCCCTACAGGCCTCATCATTCACAGTCACCTCAAGTTGGAACCCCTCAGCGAGAGCCTCAGAGAAATTTTTATCCAGCAGCACAGAACCTTCAAGCCAATACTCAGCAGGCAACTTCTGGAGCATTATTTACACAGACACCCTCAGGACAATCTTCAGCAACATACAGTCAGTTTAACCAACAGAGTGTGAACAGCACGGCACCCCCACCCCCACCCCCTCCGCCTCCTTCTTCGTCTTATTATCAAAACCAGCAGCCCCCTGCAAACTTTCAGAATTATAATCAGCTCAAAGGTAGTCTTGCCCAACAAACTGTGTTTACATCAGGACCAAATCAAGCACTTCCTGGCACCACAAGCCAGCAATCAGTTCCAGGACACCATGTTACTCCAGGGCATTTTTTGTCCTCTCAGAACCCCACCATTCACCATCAAACTTCTGCTGCAGTCGTCCCACCCCCTCCTCCTCCACCACCTGCTCCAGGACCACACCTTGTACAACAGCCGAATTCCCATCAGCAACACTCTGTAGCACATGTAGTAGGGGCAGTTCATGCTGTCACCCCTGGGTCACATATGCATTCTCAAACTGCTGGACACCATTTACCACCACCCCCTCCACCCCCTGGTCCTGCCCCTCATCACCATCCACCACCCCATCCTTCCACAGGACTCCAAGGTCTACAAGCACAACACCAGCATGTTGTAAATTCAGCACCCCCGCCTCCTCCTCCCCCTCCTCCGTCCAGTGTTTTGGCTTCTGGGCATCATACGACATCAGGCCAAGCTTTACACCACCCACCTCATCAAGGACCTCCACTTTTTCCTTCAAGTGCTCATCCAGCTGTACCACCGTATCCCTCACAAGCTACACATCATACCACTTTGGGACCGGGACCCCAACACCAGCCTTCTGGAACAGGGCCACATTGTCCATTACCTGTTGCAGGTCCTCATCTCCAGCCCCAAGGACCAAACAGTATTCCAACACCTACTGCTTCAGGGTTCTGTCCTCATCCTGGCTCTGTGGCCCTGCCACATGGGGTGCAAGGACCTCAGCAGGCATCGCCAGTGCCTGGACAGATTCCAATTCACAGAGCACAGGTGCCACCAACGTTTCAGAACAATTACCATGGTTCAGGGTGGCATTAAAATGGACTCCAAAAACATTTTTTAAAATGTTCTGTAAGATAAACTGTATATTTCATATGTACCTATTAAGGTACTTTTTAAAGCTTGTACATGAAACTTTGTATAAAAAAAAACAAAAAAACAAAAACCAGTGCTCTTTCATTGTATTTTTCCCATTTTTGCTTTTTAAAATTCTTTAAAAAAAAAAAAAAATGTGCTAAGCCAGTATTAGGTATCTTTATTTTACAAGTGAACATTCCAGCTGTTTTCTGGCAATAGATTTGATGCTACATGATCTTTAAATTTTATTGTTGCAGTTAAATTCATTTAGTGAATGTTTTCTATATTATTTTCTACATATGCATTAAGTACACAGCTAAGTAATGGCACTATGAAGATTTTTTTTTTTTTTTTTGGTCAGCAGTTCTGTGAGTGCAACTTAGGTATAAAATGCAATACAGATTTTTATAGTTTGGTGTGGACATGGCTCATTTTGTTTTATCAGTTATTTGCAAGCAGAATGTAATTTAATGTATAGATGATTTCTAATGTCTCCTGACAAACTGTAAATACTGCATTTCTTTTGCGTATATAATTGCTTACAGCTTTTTTCATTTGATATATAGCATTGTACATATGACAAGTCTTTTGCAAAACTGTGTGATCTTTGTGAAAGTAGTACAGTATATGACCTTTCATTTCTTTTTTATTTTTAAATATCCTGTCACATTGAAGCACTGGTTGGGCATTTTAATTCATGTTAATAAATCACAATTATGTCAGTTTTACCAGATTGTCCTGTACAACTTCTAAGATGGGGGTCTGCTTTCAAATATAATTTGTAAAGAAACTTAAATTTTCTTTAGTGACTACTACCCTCAGGAGGAGAGCTAGAGGGAGTAACAGGTTGTTCCCATCATGGTTTCTACTTGCCATTTTTGCAGGAGCAAGAATCATAGGAAATTAAATAGACACGCTGTGTAACTCTACTTAAGTATGTGACATCACAATGAATCCAGACCACTACCGCATTACACCCGATAAAGAGTTACAGACTGCAATTTACAAATTATTAAAAAAAAAAAATTAGTCTGCCTAAAAAACAGCAATATGTAATTTGCACATTTTAGAACACGACTGAAATATTGATAAGTGAAACAAGTGTCTTTAATTTGGCTTGGGTATACAAAACTAAAGGGAAGTGGCATTATTTAAGAAAAATAAATGGCCTCTCAAGTGAATTTTTTATTGCCTAAATATAAAATGCTAGTTCAATTTTGAAAATAAAAATTCCCAGCCTTTGCCTTCTACCTCTTAGGTATACACTAATTAAGTGTATACAATAGCAATGACACTATTTTTATCAACATATTTTTCATCATCCAAATACTTTGACATAATTTGGGCACTGTATACTATACATATTTTGTGCATTAGGAGAAAAAAAGTAAATAGACTTAAAAAATGAATGAGATTTGGTAGTAATTTAAGTCATGTTTTATGATTTTAATTTCCATTTCCTTTTGAAAATTAGCTAACGATGGTGCATCAATACAGCTTATCTAGAATTCAATCCTAATGAGCTTTAAGAAAAAGGTCAACTTTGCCATCATTGATCTTCAAACAAAATGCTGCTTATGTTAATGACTAAAAAAAAATTTGAGAAGAAATGAGTTTACATCATCTGTCCCTCTTGATAGTTTCAAACACAGCAAAGTTAACTGGCATGTGAAATATCAATATTCATCTCTTTAGAAGGCCCCCACCTAAAGCATTTTTAATTCCTACTTTGGCCTACTACAAAACTAATATATACATAAGCTTCTGTGTAAAACCGTGAAACAGTAAATAAATTCTTTGACTCTTTGATGGACACATACATTCTTCAAACATTGTCCTGTACACCAAACTTTCATTTTAAAAAAGAGAAAAAAATATGAAATTTTAGGAAATAATCTACAGAAATAAACAGTTTCTCTATGCCCATGGAAAGTTCCCATACTTCATCCCATTAATAAGTTATGTATGGTCCAAGTACAGGAAGAAGCAAGTAGTACATCAGTTTTCACCTAAAAGTATATGCCCCTTTGAAGTTCTTAATATCCATTTGTTCTTGGCCCTTGAGCAGTACTGTTGGCCAATGTGCAGACAGCCAGGTTCTGAACTGGCTATAATCACCTATGTGATCCACTGCTTGCAACTTTCCATGAAGACTTCACATGACCACAGGAAAAAAGATAGACAGGATATTCAATGAAGTTCACTAAGCAGGCTACAATATTTAGCACCACTAGTGCTACAATATTTAGAACCACTAGTGGTTCTCCTTTGCCTTGTATGCATTCTTTATCAACAAGCCACCAAGAATCTGTTAAAACCATATAGTTCCTAAAACAAATGTAATTCCTTCTAGAACAACTGCTTCTACATAGAAAACAAGTTAGTATTTAGGCTATGTTATCATAAGGATACCACCTTAAAATTAGTTTCCTTCCTAACATGAACTAAAACTGCATTAGACAAATTTCACTGAAGTATACTCTAACCTTGAAAATTCTTACCCAGAGGACACATATGTACTCTGTGGCTCCTATAAAAATGTTTCCGGTGCAATTCATGCATAATAGCATCAATGGTCATAGAATCTACATGGAAACCTATAGCCTCACTAGAAAAATTTAGCATGAAGATCTCGTCAATGAATGGTTCATTCTACCTCACAGCAACATAAGATATAATGCCAGTTCCTAAGAGGATTGTATCTCTTGTTCCCTCAGAGTGAATGCTGTTAAGGAAAATTTGAGAAGTTTAAAATGCAGTTAGTATGTTTTTGATGAAACATGGATAAAAAAGATGACAAGTTGAAGGTAATGAATCTATACTGTTATCATCTTTCCTAAATACTTTCTGCCCTCAAAAAATAAATGATTTCCTTATAATAAGCTTTAATGCATGTTCTACAACTACATATGCTGCAGCAGGAATGTTGGTATTCTTTTTAGTTTGGAAGACACTGAAAGCAAATGTTTGTTGATCCTGTCACTTCAAATATAGGGCAATGACCAAGGCAATGTCTGGAAAAAAACCAAACACTTTAATTTTTAAGACAACTGCAAGCACCTCAAACAATGGATTATTGTTACAACACTTGTTAGCTTTTCACAATCTAGTTATTGCAAAGGCATATGAATAAATGTTAATGGACAAAGTCAAGAAAAAAGAGGCACCTTAATGAATGTAAAATTTAAAATAAAAGACATTCATTTCACTGACATCTAAAAGAGGCTAAATATACCTCTATATATTAACATTCTAAAATTGTATTGCCTACTAATGGATTTTGTGTCCTGGATTCTACAATTAATTTTAAGGAAATGCATAAACAAAAACTGTGTGCAACCTGCAAAGGGAAAATCATTTTCTCATTCATGGAAAGACAAAGAAAAAGCTAGTATAAGCTGTTGTAGCCACACATAAAGCTGCCTATGGAATGAACGTGATCATTGTTACCTTTGAGCTGTGAAAAGTATTCTTCCCACTGCACTGCAAACTGTATATACCATACCTTGTGTTTAGACAAACACGATCATGCTTTTCCAAAAAATATATATATTTTTTCATTCCACACACTGAATATGTTTCTCTTGTCCAATTTCATGTATTTAACTTGCAGTGTTTGGAGGAGGCAACACAACGTGGTACCAGGCTATCACATTTTCAAAGAGAAATTGCTTTTTTTCTTTTAAAGTACTTTAAAAAATATGCAAAAATACAAATGGAACTGCCCAATTATAAGGTATATTTTAGAATGAGAAGCATGTCTTTTCTTCTTTTAAAGTGCCATATAGGAAATGACACATCTTGTTACCCAGAGCCATTTTATTTAAAAATCTAATGTAAATGGACTGCTATGGAATGAAAAATTTGCACAACTCCTTGAAGCAGTGAGTCTGCTACATGCAACTTGGGCTACAAAGCACTAAGGACTTGGTAGCTTTTCTGAAAAATTGAGTCCCCATCCCATACTTAATGGAAAGTAACATTTACAAGGGTGCATTTACATACACTATAATACAGGAATGATGTCCCTTTGCCAGAAGATAAAATTGTACATTTCCTTGCTATTTCTTGGTTCCAACTTGATAATTTCTTAAGATTGTAAATTATATAGTACTCAGCTAAAATATTTCTTCATAAATAGTTACAAAACCTGCCAAAACACAAAGGGGAAAGTATTTTTCGTTCAAAAAAATGACATTTGAATGTCACACAACACGAGAAACAATGCTTAGAGACATGTTATTGTTTCCAGAAGAAAATGGTCAGTAAACTACTTAGCTGAAGACAAAGACTACCCTTCCCTAGGATCACAGTGCACAAAAAGCAAAATGTCAAACAACAGTACCTCAAAGCAAAATAAAGGTCTGAGGATGAAGCCAGCTCACTTGTAATCCTGTTAAAGAATGAGAGTCACCGTTTAGGTCCAATGTACTGGAAAACATTTGCTAGCTCAGAATGCTATATTTGTAGAATTTGCTAAGAATTCAACCAAGGATGTCGAAGGCATTCGCCAGCTGAGGCTCGTTTTTCAGGAACCATTTCTAACATCGGGATCAGGAAATCTGTAAACTGTGCAGCATCTTCATGGGGCCAGCCATACTTTTCTACAAGTACATCAAAGAGGCTCCAGGGCTTCAGCTTGGTGATGTGCCGCAGTTCTCCTGCAGGGAGGAAGAAGGAAAAAAACCACACCAATATCAAGAAAGCTCCAAATTTGCATTTCCCATAGTTGGTTCATCCGGGTTCTTTTCATTGAAGCAGACAACCTACCTGCTCCACACTTTATGGCAACAACAAGGAACGCTAGGTTTCCCACCCTAAGCAATTATCACTGTGACCATGTCATATTCCAAATAAGTCTGGTGGATGTAAATAAGGATTAATTAATAGGTCATTCACCTCAGTTCTAGGTTAAATAGGTACACTGATAATGCTCAGAATGTTTTCATTTCCAAAGGCTGACAAAGCCACTTTCCTCCAAGTTGGGATCTTTGGTAATTTGCAAGCTTGCCTAGAAAAAGCTGTAGATGTACACCATTTGAAGTCCTTGCACAATTATCTCTTCATGTTATCATGCAAAGAAAAAGGAGTCTTTTCTTGTAGAATAGCACAAAGAGAACTTTTTGTGATGGTAGAGATGTATTTTTTATCTGTGCTATCCAATTTGAAAGCCCCTGGCCACATGTGGCTAATAGACATATGAAATGTGACTAGTGCAATGAAGAAATAACATTTTAATTCGTCTAAATTTGACCAGCCACACACGGCTAGTGGCTATTGGAATGGGCAACACAGCTTTGGAGACTAAACCAAACAGTTCATTTGTTATAAAATCTGAGTCCAAGGACATCTCTTCATAAACTTTAACCTATAATTGTCAAAATGTGTTAGCAGTAATAGAAAAAGTGCTACTCAAAAAAGCTGGGCTGCAAGCGACTCTGACTGATCTAACAGATGACTAACAAGCTAGTAAATGGTCTTTTTCGTAATAGGAAAAAAAAAGTTATTTTTAAATCAAACTGCCAAAAGGTCAGGGTAAACTGCATTATGAATAATTCATTTTCTTTGTTCAAAATTTTCACAGGACACCCCACCCCTGCCCATATAGAGGCCTCCTGGGTGCCCCTCAGAGTGGGCCCCTGAGCAGCTCCTGCAGACAGAGGAAGTACCGCACCATGCCATGCCCACGCCCCAGAGCCAGCCACAGGACCTGCAGCCACACAGCCAG